TTCCGTTTTTCGGATTATACCTTCAAATTAAAAGTCTGCCGTAAAACGCTGTGTGTGAAACAAAATCTATATTTTTTTTGCAGTTTTGCAAGGTGCATAATGTTAAAATTATGTGGAAAAAATTATAACTACATGTGGCGAAAAATCTAAGCTAAAGAGTTTTACTACTTTATATAAGATAAAGAATAGTATAAGGTGGAGCACATTGAGAAAAGGTTTGAACTTAAGTAAATGAATGTAAAGTACATAGTAATAGCCTACTGGTAAAAAATAGATATATACAATGACAAGCTAAAAAAAGAACTCATTATTTTGATTGTATGATTCTTGTTAATTTACTGTTACTATTGTTCAAGGATGCAATTTTGAAATGTAATGTTTAAGAACAGTCTTACTGTATTTTTTGTTGTAATGCACAAATAAATTGCACTGTACAGGAAAAACAATGGATTGTGTGTCCATAAAACCAGGGTCCAGCACACTCACTAGAGTCCCTATTATACAAACAAGGTGAGTTTCAACAAAAAGCAAGGTCATATCAAGTGTTGCTGGACTTTTACTGTGGTCAAACAGCTTAAAATGGAGCCACTGGACACTACGGAACAAATATAACACTGTATTTGTATTTGTATTTATTAAGGATCCCCATTAGCTGCTGCCTACTCTTCCTGGGGTCCTGCAACATTAAGGCAGTTATACAATTTAAAATATTACATGACATTATATTTCATAACACTTTACCCAATATATTTAGTGTGTTCCCTCAGGCCACTACTCCACTATCACATATTTACAATACAACATCCATGTGTGTAGAGTGAGTGTCTAAAATGTATGTGTGTATGTACCTATGTGTGTGTCTCTTCACAGTCCCCGCTGTTCCACAAGGTGTATTTTTACCTGTTTTTTTAAATCTGATTATACTGCTTGCATCAGTTACCTGATGTGGAATAGAGTTCCATGTAGTCATGGCTCTATGTAGTACTGTGCGCCTCCCATAGTCCGTTCTGGACTTGGGGACTGTGAAGAGACATCTGGTGGCATGTCTTGTGGGGTATGCATGGGTGTCCGAGCTGTGTGCCAGTATTCCAAACAGACAGCTTGGTACATTCAGCTCGTCGACACCTCTCACAAAAACAAGCAGTGATGAAGTCAATCTCTCTTCCACTCTGAGTCAGGAGAGACTGACATGCATGTCATCAATGTTAGCTCTCCGTGTACTCTTAAGGGCCATCAGTGCTACCTGTTCTGAGCCAACTGCAATTTTCCCAAGTCCCTTTTTGTGGCACTTGACCACAATACTGAACAGTAGTCTAGGTGCGACAAAACTAGGGCCTGTAGGACCTGCCTTGTTGATAGTGTTGTTAAGAAGGCAGAGCAGCGCTTAATTATGGACATACTTCTCCCCATCTTAGCTACTGTTGTATCAATATGCTTTGACCATGACAGTCTACAATCCAGAGTTACTCCAAGCAGTTTAGTCACCTCGATTTGTTCAATTTCCACATTATTCATTAATAGATGTAGTTGAGGTTTAGGGTTTAGTGAATGGTTTACAATGCTTTTAGTTTTGGAAATATTCAGGACTAACTTATTCCTTGCCACCCATTCCGAAACTAACTGCAACTCTTTGTTAAGTGTTGCAGTTACAGTGGGGGGAAAAAAGTATTTAGTCAGCCACCAATTGTGCAAGTTCTCCCACTTAAAATGATGAGAGAGGCCTGTAATTTTCATCATAGGTGCATGTCAACTATGACAGACAAAATGAGAAGAAAAAATCCAGAAAATCACATTGTAGGATTTTTAATGAATTTATTAGCAAATTATGGTGGAAAATAAGTATTTGGTCAATAACAAAAGTTTCTCAATACTTTGTTATATACCCTTTGTTGGCAATGACACAGGTCAAACGTTTTCTGTAAGTCTTCACAAGGTTTTCACACACTGTTGCTGGTATTTTGGCCCATTCCTCCATGCAGATCTCCTCTAGAGCAGTGATGTTTTGGGGCTGTCGCTGGGCAACACGGACTTTCAACTCCCTCCAAAGATGTTCTATGGGGTTGAGATCTGGAGACTGGCTAGGCCACACCAGGACCTTGAAATGCTTCTTACGAAGCCACTCCTTCGTTGCCCGGGCGGTGTGTTTGGGATCATTGTCATGCTGAAAGACCCAGCCACGTTTAATCTTCAATGCCCTTGCTGATGGAAGGAGGTTTTCACTCAAAATCTCACGATACATGGCCCCATTCATTCTTTCCTTTACACGGATCAGTCGTCCTGGTCCCTTTGCAGAAAAACAGCCCCAAAGCATGATGTTTCCACCCCCATGCTTCACAGTAGGTATGGTGTTATTTGGATGCAACTCAGCATTCTTTGTCCTCCAAACACGACAAGTTTAGTTTTTACCAAAAAGTTATATTTTGGTTTCATCTGACCATATGACATTCTCCCAATCCTCTTCTGGATCATCCAAATGCACTCTAGCAAACTTCAGACGGGCCTGGACATGTACTGGCTTAAGCAGGGGGACACGTCTGGCACTGCAGGATTTGAGTCCCTGGCGGCGTAGTGTGTTACTGATGGTAGGCTTTGTTACTTTGGTCCCAGCTCTCTGCAGGTCATTCACTAGGTCCCCCCGTGTGGTTCTGGGATTTTTGCTCACCGTTCTTGTGATCATTTTGACCCCACGGGGTGAGATTTTGCGTGGAGCCCCAGATCGAGGGAGATTATCAGTGGTCTTGTATGTCTTCCATTTCCTAATAATTGCTCCCACAGTTGATTTCCTCAAACCAAGCTGCTTACCTATTGCAGATTCAGTCTTCCCAGCCTGGTGCAGGTCTACAATTTTGTTTCTGGTGTCCTTTGACAGCTCTTTGGTCTTGGCCATAGTGGAGTTTGGAGTGTGACTGTTTGAGGTTGTGGACAGGTGTCTTTTATACTGATAACAAGTTCAAACAGGTGCCATTAATACAGGTAACGAGTGGAGGACAGAGGAGCCTCTTAAAGAAGAAGTTACAGGTCTGTGAGAGCCAGAAATCTTGCTTGTTTGTAGGTGACCAAATACTTATTTTCCACCATAATTTGCAAATAAATTCATAAAAAATCCTACAATGTGATTTTCTGGATTTTTTTCTTCTCAATTTTGTCTGTCATAGTTGACGTGAACCTATGATGAAAATTACAGGCCTCTCTCATCTTTTTAAGTGGGAGAACTTGCACAATTGGTGGCTGACTAAATACTTTTTTCCCCCACTGTATTTCAGTTGCTGTAGTAGCTGACGTGTATAGTGTTGAGTCATCCGTACAGGCAAAACGATCAATTGTGTCGATAAAACCAGGCTCCAGTCTACTCACTAGAGTCCCTAGAATACAAATCAGGTGCGTTTGAACAAGGTCAGGAAGTGTTGCTGGACTTTTACTGTGGTCAAACAGCTTAAAATGGAGCCAATGGACACTATGGTACATATATAACACCGTACAGGCAAAACGATTGATTGTTTGTCCAGAAAACCAGGGTCAAGTCTACTCACTAGAATCTACTTTTTCCTTGTAAGCACATAGCTATTTTATGAGGCAATTATATGTCACACAATCACAAAAACCTGAACCCACAAGTCCAAGATGCAAACCTTTTGATTGATTGCGACCAGGGTGGGTTGAAGAAAAGTGCTGTTTACCTCTGTGATAACCATTGATAGTCTATAGGCATAATTGGGGTGATACTTACCTATAGCAGCATGATCTTACTAGGATACTGCTTCAAAAAATAAATGGTATTTGTCTAGCCAAAACGCTTGACCTGATGCATGTTTTGGCACGTAAGGCTGGCCTTGGGCTGATTTAAATGTGTGAAGTCTGCAGCCTGCTCATCATCATTAGTTCAGTCGAGTACAGGCTTAACTGAATGACAACAGAGACAGAATACAATATGGCATTTTATTGAACATTTTGGGGTAGGCCTCGTCTCTGAAGAATGCTCCTCAGGGCCAGATATAATAATTACCGTATAAAAGGTGAGAGAAAGCGATGTGAGTTATGAGTTTACTAGATGAATGAAAAGTCAGCAGAGAATTAAAGAGACAGTCCAAAAGTGTAGAAGTATGATTTAGACTCAAAATGAGTTCATCGACCTCATAGCCTCAGAGAAGGGGCTGTTAAAATCAAATCAAATGTTACCAAGCCTTGCTGTTCTGGGCCTCATCTGTTTACTTGAAGAAAGAGGCTTGAAGAGGCGATTGGCTATTTTGTATTCTAGGGACTCTAGTGTGTAGACTGGAGTGGGTGGAGTAGAAAGTGTTGCTGGGCATATACTGTAGACCTCAGTCCCCATGAAATAACACCATATATAGATTCAACAGACCCTAGTGAGTAATCCCAACCCCACTTTTACTTCTGCACCCAGAATACTTTTCTCTCTATAAGCCAATATGTATTTCATATACAGTGTATTAATAATAATAAGCCATTTAGCAGACACTTTTATCCAAAGCGACTTACAGTCATGCGTGCATACATTTTTTGTGTATGGGTGGTCCCGGGGATCGAACCCACTGCCTTGGCGTTACAAGCGCCGTGCTCTACCAGCTGAGCCACAGAGGACCACATTGTATTGGGGACATTTATTTGACCTTGGGACATGTTTTAAAACCCAAATGTAATGCAAATTCCACTTAATTATGAACAAATATGAATCATTGTTGATGTTTAGAACAAATTAAACTGTTCTACTATGATTTGTAGCTCAGTTGGTAGAGCATGGCGCTTGCAACGTCAGGGTTGTGGGTTCGATTCCCACGGGGGGCCAGTATGAAAATAAAAATATATGCACTCACTAACTGTAAGTCGCTCTGGATAAAAGCGTCTGCTAAATGACAAAAAAATAAGAAAAAAAAATGTAGGGGACTTTTATTTGGAAAATTACCTAAATTCCATGACCCGGAAGTACCTTTTAGTGTTGCTGATGACACGCTGGTCGTTCGTTCATGGAGAGAAAAAACAATCGCTTCCGTGTTGTTATCGGTTGTTATTCTGGACAAATAGCTAGCTAAGTACTTGACCCAAAGCGGGATTGCTAGCCAGTTATTTGGTGGTTAAACCATAATGGTTTTGTAGGATCAATACATAGTATAGTTTTATTCGCCAGAATGTCGTTGCTACAAGGCTCCAAGAAAAAGGACAAACGTATTTTGTCCGGTACCTGCCCAGACCCAAAATGCCAGGCGAGGCTATTCTTCCCTGCTTACGGCTCGATTAGCATTGAATGCACTGAGTGTGGCCAACGCCACGAACAGAATAATCTTTTAAATGTGGAAGAAGTAACTGATCCAGACGTTGTGCTTCACAATTTGTTAAGAAATGCCTTACTTGGTGTCACTGGGGCCCCGAAGAAGGGAACCGAGCTGGTGAAAGTGATGGGGCTTTCCAACTACCATTGCAAGCTCCTCTCTCCTATTCTCACAAGGTATGGAATGGATAAGCAGACGGGAAAAGCGAAACTGCTGCGGGAAATGAATCAAGGAGAAATGTTCGACTGTTCACTTCTAGGAGACAGGGCGTTTCTAATTGAACAGGAGCATGTATCTACAGTTGGCTATGGCAAGGACAGATCCGGGAGCCTGATATACCTTCATGACACTTTGGAGGAGATGAAGAAAGCGAACAGCAACAAAGAATGCCTAATTCCTGTTCATGTGGATGGAGATGGACATTGCCTTGTTCATGCTGTGTCCAGGGCCCTGGTAGGCAGAGAACTGTTCTGGCATGCGTTGAGAGAGAATTTGAAACAACATTTCAAACAAAACCTGGATCGTTACAAGGCACTCTTTCAGGATTTTATTGATGCAGCCGAATGGGAGGACATCATCAACGAATGTGACCCTCTGTTTATCCCACCGGAGGGTGTGCCACTGGGACTTCGAAACATTCACATATTCGGCTTGGCCAATGTGCTGCACCGCCCCATAATCTTGTTAGATTCACTGAGTGGAATGAGGAGCTCCGGGGATTACTCTGCAACTTTTCTCCCAGGGCTCGTGCCGGAAGAGCAGTGCAAAGGAAAAGATGGGAAGTTCAACAAGCCTATATGCATTGCCTGGAGTAGCTCAGGGCGTAACCACTACATCCCTCTCGTCGGGATAAAGAACACTCTCCTCCCCAAGCTGCCACCAAGGCTACTCCCCAAGGCCTGGGGAGTGCCACAGGAGCTCATCAAGAAGTACATAAAGCTGGAACAAGACGGGAGCTGTGTCATTGGGGGAGACAGGAGCTTACAAGACAAGTATCTGATGAGACTGGTCAATGCCATGGAGGAAATCTTCATGGAGAAGCATGGCATCCACCCCTCCCTTGTGGCAGACGTGCATCAGTACGTTTACAGACGGACCGGTGTGATCGGTGTCCAACCCGAAGAGGTGACGGAGGCTGCCAGGAAATCAGTCATGGAAAACCGGCTACATCGCTGTCTGATCTGCAATGCACTCTCTGAGCTTCATGTTCTACCTGAGTGGCTGGCTCCAGGTGGTAAGCTCTACAACTTGGCTAAATCCACCCACGGGCAGCTCAGACCTGACAAGAACTACAGCTTCCCGCTGAACAACGTAGTCTGCTGTTACGACCCTGAGAGGGACATCCTCATTCCTGACTACAAGCTGAGCTCTTTGAACACCTGCAACTGGTGCCATGGCACCTCAGTGCGCCACATCCATGGCAACGGCTCTGTGGTGTATCTGGATGGAGACAGAACCAACACCCGCTCCCAGGGGGGAAAATGTGGCTGTGGCTTTAAGCACTACTGGGAGGGAAAGGAGTACGACAATCTGCCAGAGGCTTTCCCCATCACTCTGGAGTGGGGTGGGCGAGTCGTGCGGGAGACTGTGTACTGGTTCCAGTATGAGATGAATGTGGACCTGAACAGCAACGTGTATGATGTTGCCATGAAACTGGTCACCAAGCATTTCCCTGGGGAGTTTGGGAGTGAGCTCCTGGTGCAGAAAGTGGTGAACACCATCTTACATCACACTGCCAAAAAGAACCCAGACGAGTATAACCCAGTCTCCATTGACGGGGCGCATGCTCAGAGGGTCACAGACGTGGTGGAAACCCAACAGGCTGTTGACACACAGCCACCGACTAAGATCATACTAACTGGGCAGAAATCAAAGACCATTCACAAAGAGGAGCTTACGATGAGTAAGGCAGAGCGGAGCCTTCAGCAAAGCATCAGCGAGCAGGCCCTAGTGACCCAGAAGAGGAGGACAGATCGACTGAAGCAGAAGGGACAGGGCAGGCCACCCTCCCCAAGTGCTGCTCAGGAACCTTCTTCCTCCTCCGCCCCAGCCACGCCCACCAAATCCTCCTCCTCCTCCACTGCCAGTAAGGAGAAGAAGATCCGTGTAACCACTAGCGATGGGCGGCAGGCCATGCTCACTCTACAGGCTCAGACCACCTTCTCCGAGCTCCAGAGGAGCATTGCTAATGAGTTCACCGTGCCTCCAGCCCAGCAATGTATCCGACATGGGTTCCCTCCCAAAGAACTTTTCCCTCCCAAGGATGGAGAGGAGAATGAGCCTGTGGCCCTCCAACACGGGGACAGGGTGACTGTGGAGATCCTGAGAGGTCCAGAGGACCGCAAGGCATCCGCCCCAAGCGCTTCCAGTTCCTATTCATCCCTGCATTCCCTCCTCTCTGTGAAGAGTGATGATCCAGTGACTTCCAGCAGAATGAATACTAGCAGAGAGCTGCAGGACAATATTGACCTTGAGATGTCCTCCCTCTGTCTCCTAGCAACCTTAATGGGTAAGAAAGGGGAAAGGTTTTAGTTTAAGTCAATAGTTAGTTAGGCTATCTTTATCTTTACATTCTATAATTATTTACTGCTACAAAAGACAGACAATCTAGCAACACATAAGTGACATAGGAGTTAAGCAGAACACAGCTGTGATGTCATTACAAAAAGTCTAAAATGACTGGCTGTAGAGGGAGAACTTGTTTGATGATTCTCCTTTTAGACTAGGCCTATAGTTCCAGGCATATTAGTTATCAAGTCTTAGAAGCGTCGTGCCTTAGAACATCCCTTCAGTAAATATAAGGCCAGCAACTGAATGTGATAGGTGTGAGAGTGACAGGCTAGTATATAGGCGTCCCAGACAGTAGCTTTACACAGCATAAGGGCATGCTGTTCTTGGATTAGTTACAAGAAGCAGGATGAATGACAAAGTAGCCTACTACAGGTGTTGAGTGACTGGGTGGGCTTGCCAGGGATAGATCAAGGCCCAATCTTTGGGGATAATGACTTTTTTCCACTTGAAATAATTATAATCTACTCCAAGTGCTTTTTGTATAGCCTACATCAGCAACATGGCATTTGGTATTCATTGAAATGCGTGCAGCAGCAGTCTCAGGAAGAGAGAAGAGGGTAGATTTGATATCCACCTCGCCCTACCAATTTTTTTTTAGCGATGGTGGGGGAATCGATACAGTTACATATCGGGATATTATTTTTGACGATATATCGTATAGTTTTTACAATATAGCAATATTATTTTTGCGCTAGTTGGCTGTATCTGCACCTAAACTCCAGTATTTTTCCTTCATAGCTTGTTCTCCATCTTCTTTTTAAATAGGGAGCCAATTTGTTTTCAGCCCTTTATTTCCATGACTGATCAAAACTCATTTTCTCATGTCTGTCTCTTGTCGAATCACAGTAAAACCACAGTATCAAATCGCAATACATATAGAATCGTAGTACATATCGTATCGGCAATTCCCAGCCCTACTATTTTTACTACATAATTAGAATTTTGATCAAAGGCACACATTTCTCTGAGGAATTTTTGTGTATTAATTTATTTTCATGTTTCAAATGCTAATTGCAGTATGTTTTATTCCTATTCAGGAGAAGATGTCTGGTCATATGCCAAAAAACTGCCTCACTTATTCCACCAAGGTGGAGTTTTCTACAACATTGTGAAGAAAGATATGGGTATGTATTCATGTTTTCTGTTATAGGCTTTATGCTCTTAGCAATTTGTGTAACTTAAATGACAGCTACGGTATATTAGACTTTGCATGTGATATGTACTGATCTGTGTTTATGACCACCTATAATGGCTCTTGTCTCGTCTGCAGGCCTGATGGATGGCAAGCACTGCACCCTCCCACACCTGACTGGAAAGACGTTTGTTTACAACGCAGCAGAGGAGCGTCTGGAGCTGTGTGTGGATGCAGCTGGACATTTCCCTGTGGGCCCTGACGTGGAGGACCTCGTCAAGGAGGCCCTGGTGCAGCTCCACTCTGAGGCTGCCTCCAGGAGTCGCGAGGGAAGCCCCTCTCACAGCATGCTGAGGCTCGGGAGTGGAGGTGTGGTGCGCAAGAAGGAGCAGCTCCAGAGTGTCAACGCCTTCCAGGGTAAGGGCCACTCCCTGGGCAGCGCCCCAGGCGGCTCTCCCCCTGAACACAAGCCCATCACCAGGCAGCACAGCAGCGGGGTGGACCTGAGCGCCAGCGCCTCCAAGGGACCCGACCTCTCTGACATCTCAGAGGACGCGACCAAGAAGCTGGTGCGCATGGCTCCCGGTTTTGTCACCATGAAAGACAGCCGACACCTGGACCCTAGTATGATCGAAGAGCAGAGGAAAAAACTACAGGAGATGGTCTCATCCATCCAAGCCTCCATGGACAGGCACCTGAGGGAGCAGAGCAATGCAGGGGCAGGCACTGGGGGCCCTGCAGAGAGGACAAGTGGGGCTAAGATGAGTGCTTCCCAATCTGCCCCAGGGGCAGGCGACAAGGAGGCCTCTTCAATGGACGTATCTACTGCTGGTGCTCATGGCACACCAGTGGAGGCAGGGAACATGCCTGATGGAAAATATGCAGAGTCAGAGGAGCTGGAGGAAATGGATAGCCAGGATGCAGAGCATACCAATGCCCTGGAGCCAATGGATCATTCCTGATGGCAAAAGGGCCTGGTCCTATACTTTTCTCAATCATGATCAGTCACCCCTCTATCTGGTTGGCATTAGTGTGGGAATGCTTCAGGTTGTATCCAAGCTTTGGTATTCATTGTGTTTTGTTGTCTTTACTGCATGATTGACAAAGAGGTTGACCGTTTCTGCCTTTGGTGACAGTCTAATGCTATTATACAGAAACATGCACCAAGATCCAAGGAGCAATGCTGGTTCTTGTGTGTGAAATGCATTCCTGTACATGTCCTCCAAGTCTTAAAGGTCCAATGCAGACGTTTTTATCTCAATATCAAATCATGTCTAGTTAACAATTAAGTACCGTACTAACCATGTTTCCATCCACAGTTTTTATTTGAGTAAAGTAATACTGTATATAAAAATATACAAAAATTACGATAGCTGTGATGGAAATAGGACGTTTTGGTACAATTGTATAAATGCCACAGATAATTTGTTCATTCGACATAGTGGGATCTTTTTATGTCGGTAAAATTAATTAATGCGAGAAATGGCGGTGGAAACAATGACATGGTGTGTGGTCCTCGACTCCTCCCACGACGACTCGGGAAATTATGCAGTTTATTAGGCTACAGATTAAATAAATGATGATGCACTTCATAGGGTGGTGAAAGTGCATTGTATGAGCTTGATCCTCCTTTCCAATAAATGTTGAGGGTCTTATTCTGGTGACATGATGATCGATGCTTGACTGCCGTTTGACAAATAAAAATGTTCTCGCTCTTATTCATAATATTCACATCATGTAGACCAGGGGTGGGCATCCCTGTTCCTGGAGTGCCGCATGTACTGCAGGATTTGGTTCCAACTAGGCACCACGCCTGCCCAACTGAGCTAATTGATCGGTTCAGTGATTGCCTAAATTCAACACACCTGGTCTTCCAGGTTGGTTAAATCAAAAACATGGATCAGGGTTGCTTACCCCTGATGTAGACTAAGCTACATGCACAGCCTACCTGCACTGTATCTGTAAGCTGTTGGCTAGAGCGCACGTACCAAGACCAGAGGAGGCACATTTGCTATTTAAAGCAACCGTTTGTGACAAAACACTATCTGTTGAAAATGCGATGGAAACACATTGAACATTAGATTTGTATTCGGTACATGAAAACGTACGCAAAAAAGTACATTTTGTGTGGACTACGTCGTCACACACTGATTTTTATCCGCAACAAGTCAGTTTGGTGGAAACACCACTGGTGGGAAAATGCGCATATTTTCTTTATGCAGATTTTAGAATATTTGCATGAAAATCTGTCGCCAATTGGATGGAAACCTAGCTACTGTGATTGTTTTCAATTAAAATGGTCAACAAAAAACAAAAATAGCTTCTTAGGAAAGAGCAATTTCTCAAGCAAGATTTTTGCTAGGACTGTCTGAGTTGGGAGGGGGAAATGGAAAACTCTCTGTTATTGGTAGAGAGTTATTCACAGTATTTCACAGTATTATTCCAACCTCATAGTGTGGGAATGTATATAAAGCAGAGGAAAATCACGTTTTTGACTGCACTGGGCCATTAAGACAGGGAGTAGAAGAGCTTGAGTTAAGATCCCATCCCACACCAGCATTGTAATGTCCACAAACATCCGCTTCAGCATAGTGCACATTGTAAAGGCACTAGCCCTCAAACATGAAAACCTACTGTACCATCACATTTTCTGCTTTACCAACATATTTGCTATACCAACATATTTGCTTTAAACAACAGTGAAATATTCCAAATTAGTTTTATTTTATTGAACTTTGCTCCCCATGTGAAGGTTTGCTGTCTTAATTCCTGAAGGAAGGAGTCACATGCCCTTATGATAAGTAACATATGCATCAACATTTGTTGTCGGAAAACCTTGTGAAAAAGCTTTTTTAGTTTGGATTTGTTTTGGGAAAATTGTATAAGAGTTTAAAGATTTTGTTAAAAAATGTAATTGAGATTAATGCCATTTCAAGGGAAGCACTGTTCTGAAAAGAACTAAGTTAATTGGTGAATCTATTTTGCCGGTGTGGACTGATTGGGGAAGATTCCTGTTGATTATTTTGGGTTCAAGGTTCATGCTACTTGCTAATGTTTGAAGTTATTTATGCTACTTTTCATATTTCTCACGAAACCCAAATGAGTGGGCCAAGTTAAGTGTGCTGTGCAAGTGCTGAACTACTTGATGTGGTGCTGTATTCCATTGGAAGGACCGGCATAACATACTACACACACCTGTGAGTACTGTTTATTCCATTTCCTCAATCACTTTTTTGACTTTAGTGAAAGATTGAATGCAGTGCAGGGTATTTTTTCGAAACATATTTCTAAAGTAAGACTTGATTTATGAATTTTCCTTTACCATACATGTATATGTGTGTGTGTGTGTGTACATAGTTCAGGTTTATAGATTATCAGGAATGATAAATCAATTCAAGAATAGCTGATAATTCTTTTTCCACGAACTGCCTGCAGTTTTAGTTGTTTTGTGAACAATGCTGGCATTTTATTATTCAATCGAAATAATACATTTACGTTTGCACTTGAATTCAAGAGGTGGAAATAAGGCGTGTTGTTGTGCAGGGGTGTGTTGAGCCCTATATATGCTCCCTTTAGTGCTCTTCCCATTAGTTGTGATAAACTTGGGATCATTCAACCATAAAAATTGAATGATTCATTCTAATTCTTTGGAACCAACAATCAGCTGGTATTACTAAGAATGTTATGTCTAGTTGCTTTATTGCTATTCAGCTCTAGAATTTCAACACAACATCCATAGTTTTAATCACTCAAAAAAGAACTGGGTCAATGGGATATATTAAAGTGCTGTGAACATGTATGCCTGGTTGCTGAGTATGACAACGTGATGTCTCCCTTGAGAAATCCTTGAAAGAAGTGTCATGGAGAAGGTATATTTGGTATCTCATAAACACAGAACTACATCTCACAGTGGTGTGTGAAGTATATTTCCAATTGGTTGTTCATCGAATGCAGTTGAATGTAAACGTATAGGCAAACTGTGTAGTAACATGTTGCATTCAGATCAGTTTTGTGGCATTAAATTCCTCTCCAGACATTATATATAAAACGTAACTCTTGGTTTGTTTGTTGGAATTTCAACCAAAAAGTGGGTTAGGGTGTTGATAGGCCCTCGCCTCAGAAGGCAGAGGTCTCACAAATTTAGAGATATTATGGCCACATTGAGTTTACACTTTTGTTACCGACCCAGATTTTGGAGTATTCCAGATCACCTTGTTGTTCTAGAATGACATGGTAACTTTGGATGCTGCCATTATCGGTTTATGGCCTTAAATCATTGAGTCTTACTGAGTCTTGACCTGACTTCTGGACAAGGTTTCTTATTATGGCAAAAAGCAGTTATATTTGTACCTGTCTAAAAAAACAAAAACATTAATTGCAGGTAATATTTTTTTACAGCTCCATGGCTTTTCTTTTGAGTGAACAAAATGTAAAACTCAGCACTTTTAGAAAAAGAGAGACTGTTAGAATAGAGCATATACTAGCTAAACGCAAATTTAGATATTGTCAGTCCAAGGAAAAATAAAAAGGAATTATTAAACTCGCCTAACTCAGACAACACTGATTTGACAAACTTGAAGTTTGTTTTTTGAGACTGCTGTACTAATTACATGTATTGTAAGCCAGTTGTATTATAATAGTATATATTATAGTATACTTTGATCTGTACAGAAACTCAAATTGTTCAGTAAACATTTTTGTTAACTTTTTTTCTTGTTTGCTAATAAAATATTGAAGATACCACAGCTATAACATTGCTGTGTGCATGTGTGATGACTTTTCAACCCAACAATAAAGTAATTGCTTCACAATTTTGTATTGTGGTCACTAATACTGCCTTAACTACTTGCCTTTGAATTCACTTTATATATATATTTTTTTAACTTTTGATCAATGGCCTATGCTTGATCCCATAATCTTAAAGTTTGTTTCTTTGTGACTGCTGTACTTGTATTATAATACTTTATATTGTAGTATACTTTGATCTGTACAGAAACTCAAGTTGTTCAGTAGCCTATGCTTGATCCCATCATCCATTGAGCCTCGTTCACGCATTGAATGTGTATGTGCCATCCATTGTCTGTAACTTGCTTGGCAGGCCTATCTTTATTTCACCAGGGAGGGGTCACTGCCTTGTGGCTCACAGACAAGAATGTGACAGACTTTCAATTAGACTAATGGCAGGCAATAATACGTGCAAGGTTCTCTGTTATCTGTCCACCAGGCAGTAGAATTGCATTACTTTAAAATATCAAAAACATTCCATCCGCATACAGCTTTCAGCTGTTAAAATGTAATTGTAAGATGTTCATGAATGACTTGTCCAACAAAAGCTCTGTTAGTGATACAGGTGTTGTTGTCGGCTTTTAAAATAACCTGACTGCCTGAAAATTAATTTGATATATTTCACAGGGCTGATTTGACAGATACTTTGCGATTCTGACCAATGAGGAGAGAGTCCGCGTGCGCTGCACCTCTCTGGAAGGGGGTGGGCGCGAGATTCGGCGGGATAGACACATTTCTGAACAAGAATCCCCCAAAGAGACGGTCACCACGGAGAATTTAAATAAATCAAAAGGAGATGGGATGTGAGTAGCAAGATGAAGACATGAGCTGGAAACAGAATATATAATAGTTTTTGATCATCAGTCATAAACTCAACCACATGAATAACAAACATTGGATGTTTTGTAAATTGTTATTTTAGCTAGCTGGCTCAGCTAACAGTAACAAAGTATAGCTAGTTTTAGCTAGCCAGACATATTAGTTGGCTAATTAGCTTCTTGCTAGCTAGCTAGTTTCAAGTTTAAACGTTTTATTGTCGCATGCACAGGATACAGCAGGTGTAAAACAGTACAGTGAAATGCTTAACTTGCGAGCTCTTTTACAACAATGCAGGAATAAAGGTATCTAATAATATAGATAAGAAGAAGAACACGCGTGAAATACACACACACAAAAAGAAGAGAAACACGATAATGCAGTTATATCCAGGTCAGTGCCAGTACCATTATTACAATGTGCAGGGGTACTGGAGTGATTGAGGTAGGTATACATATGTAAGCAGGGATGACCTTGTCATCCTTCTCTGTTTCTAGGAGTACTAGCAACCTAGTTTTGAGTTTCTTGTTGAACAAGAGTTCCCACGGGGGGCCAGTATGAAAAATGTATGCACTCACTAACTGTAAGTCGCTCTGGATAAGAGCGTCTGCTAAATGACTAAAATGTAACAACAGCTCTGCAGGAGACAGACCATGTTTTAGTGGAGTAGCCCTGTAGTTTAACAAGGCTAGATACGGCTCTGTCTTTGAGTCGAGAGCTTTCTTAAGCAGTTGTTTTACTGTTTTGACACCGTTCTCAACTAACCCATTAGACTGTGGGTACAGTGGGTTGGATGTGACATGCTTGAACCCGTACAGTTTAGCAAAATCACTGAAAGCTGAACTGTGAGGCGTTGTCCGTACAGACTACCTCTGTGACCCCATGACTAGCAAAGAATGACTTAATGTGAGTTTATCACCTGACTAGCAGGAGCGTCCTTCAGCAAAGCCATCTCTGGGTAATGAGAGTAATAGTCCATCAGTAGAGCATAGTTCTTGCCCTCAAGAGAAAAGAGATCTATTCCTACTTTGCCCCATGGTCTCAATACCTCTTTTTACCTCAACCCACATTGGCTCATTGCTCTGTTTTGATCTATATTTCTGGCATGTTTCACAGGCTCTGACTGTCTGCTCTATGTCAGCATGAATCTTGGGCCAGAATAACACTGCTTTTGCATGTCGTTTTGACTTTTCCATCCCTAGATGGCCATCGTATTTTGATCAACATGTTTTTCTGTAACACACTTGGTATCATAATTCTTGAACCCTTAAACAGAATGCCATCAAGTACAGATAGCTCATCCCTGTATTGACCATAAGGGTATGGTATAGCTTGTACAGACCACCTGCATATTATGGCTTGAATACCCTTTTGCAAACACTCATCTTCTGCAGTAGCATGTGAAATAACTGTCCACATTTCATCTATGAGACTGGGCAACTCATTCCGATAAGGTTTACATGTATGGTCTCGTTCTGCTCGTATATCTGGTTTGGTTCTGAGCTGTCAAAAGCTGTGGACAATGTGTCTGCCACTATCAATTCTTTCCCTGGTCTGTACTCGAGTTGCAAGTCATATTCCTGAAGTTTTAGAAATGGTCTCTGTTCCCTTGGTGGTGTGTATGTTAGACCCTTCTTTGCAATAGTAACCAAAGGTTTATGATCTGTTTCAGCCCACACTGTTTTACCATAGATAAACACATGGAATTTCTCACATGCATATGACAATGCCAATGCCTCTTTCTCAATCTGAGTTTAGTTACACTCAGAAGTTGTCAGAGCCCTGGAGGCATATGCGACTGGGCGCCATCTAGTGCCATACTGCTGTAACAACACTGCACCTAAACCTGCTTTAGAGGCATCTGCTGAGATTTTGGTTTTGCGCTTTTCATCATAGAACCTCAGTACTGGAGCATGCATGATTCATGCCTTGACAAGGAGTTAATGTTAGCTAGTTGACGTGAAGCCTCTTGGCGCCGGTAAGGATTTTCGACCAAAACTTGATGATGGATGAGTCAAAGGCGTGTTCTGTCACTCCTGGTACCATGTTGTATATTCTTGTCTAAGAAATACTAAAGAAAATAACTGTTTTTTAAAAACGTAAGTCCATTTTTATTCAAGTTAACCAGAGCCGTACAAGTATCATGCATTGAGCTGAGCTCTCCCACCCTCTGCGCGGGCTGTGCGTCCCCTAAGTGGTCATATTTCACAGAGTCGTGCGTGGGTAAACAGGTAGTACAGGAGGGGCTAAGCGCACACCCCAGGGGGGCCTCCGTGTTGAGGGTCAGCGTTGCGGAGGTGTTGTTGCCTACCCTCAACACCTGGGGGCGGCCCGTCAGGAAGTCCAGGATCCAGTTGCAGAGGGAGGTATTCAGTCCCAGGGTCTTAAGCTTGGTGATGAGCTTGGAAGGGATTACGGTGTTGACACTGAGCAGTAGTCAATGAACAGCATTCTCACAAAGGTATTCCTCTTATCCAGGTGGGAGAGAGCAGTGTGAAGTGCAATTGAGATTGTGTCGTCTGTTGATCTGTTGGGACGGTATGCAAATTGGAGTGGGTCCCTGGTATCTGGGATGATGGTGTTGATATGTGCCATGACCAGCCTTTCAAAAGCACACATGATTACAGATGTGAGTCATTTACAGATGATAGTCATTTAGGCAGGTTACCTTAGATTTTTTGGGAACAGGAACAATGGTGGTCAGCTTGAAACATGTTGGGATTACAGACTGGGACAAGGAGAGGTTGAAAATGCATGCTCTGAGAACGCGCCCTGGTATTCCGTCTGGCCCAGCGGTCTTGCGTGTGTTAACCTGTTTAAAAGTCTTACTCACATCAGCCACGGAGAGCGAGATCACACAGTCGTCCAGAACAGCAGGGGCTCTCATGCATGACTCAGTGTTGTTTCCCTCGAATCCAGCATAGAAGGCATTTAGCTAGTCTGGGAGTCCTGCGTCACTGGGCAACTCACGGCTGGGTCCACCTTTGTAATCCGTAATAGTCTGCAAGCCCTTCATAGCTATTTTATCTGATCTATTATTTCAGCAAACTACATTTAATCAACATCTGATGCTTCTTGTATGCTTTCTCCATAGTTTGTCAATAAGGTTGCTGCATAACGAAAACAATTTGAACAGGAGACAGTATGGCTAGCAGTGGCAGCAGAAGAAGTCGATACCTTTGGTAAGTTTGAGGGGATGTCTGTTGCCTGGAAACATTATTCTCCTCTCCTCTCTTGTATATGAATCTTATTGGTCTTTCCTTTCTCAGTGATGTTGGGGATGACCATGACTGCATTGAGGTGAAATGTCCCAAGAAGTCTTTGCAGAAAGTCAAGTGGTCGAGGGAAGAGGTAAGTCATGCCTTGAGTGAGTTGTCTTCTGTGGTAGCAGAGTTAACTCCCGAGAAAATAATATTTAATCTGTTTCTCCCTCTTGATCACAAGGATGAGAGGCTGAAGAGGCTTGTGGATGAACACGGAGCAGATGATTGGAATGTGATTGCAGATAATTTCAAGGTAAGTGTCACCCACACAAAATATGCCCAACTCTGACGTTTTTGTCCCTTGCGTACCTGTATATTGGACTGATGTCTTCCTCTTTTCTTTGCATTTCTCTACTCTGACAGAAAAGGTCTGAGTCTCAGTGTCAGCACCGATGGCAGAAGGTGCTCAACCCAGAGCTGGTGAAAGGGCCATGGACCAAGGAGGAGGATGAGAGGGTAAAGACAGTTTCTATTCAGTTTTCTGTCTACCAAGTTCACTACATGACCAAAAGTATGTGGACACCTGCTCGTCGAACATCTCATTCCAAATTATCATGAGCATTAATATGGAGGTGGTCCCCCCTTTGCTGCTATAACAGCCGCCACTCTTCTGGGAAGGCTTTCCGCTAGATGTTGGAACATTGCTGCGGGAACTTGCTTCCATTCAGCCACGAGCATTAGTGAGGTCGGGCACTGATGTTGGGCAATTAGGCCTGGCTTGCAGTTGGCGTTCCAATTCATCTCAAAGGTGTTCGATGGGGTTGAGGTCAGGGCTCTGTGCAGGCCAGTCAAGTTCTTCCACATCGATCTCGACAAACCATTTCTGTATGGACCTTGCTTTGTGCACGGGGGCATTGTCATGCTGAAACAGGAAAGGGCCTTCCCCAAACTGTTGCCACAATGTTGGAAGCACAGAATTAGAATGTCATTGTATGCTGTAGCGTTAATATTTCCCTTCACTGGAACTAAGGGGCCTAGCCCGAACCATGAAAAATAGCTCCAGACCATTATTCCTCCTCCACCAAACTTTACAGTTGGCGCTATGCATTGGGGCAGGTAGCGTTCTCCTGGCATCCGCCAAACCCAGATTTGTCCGTCGAACTGCCAGATGGTGAAGCGTGATTTATCACTACAGAGAACGCGTTTCCACTGCTCCAGCTGACGCTTGACATTGCGCATGGTGATCTTAGGCTTGTGTGTGGCTGCTCGGCCATGATAACCCATTTCATGAAGCTCCAGACGAACAGTTCTTGTGCTGAAGTTTCTTCCAGAGGCAGTTTGGAACTCGGTAGTGAGTGTTGCAACCGAGGATAGATGATTTTTACGCGCATCAGCACTCGGCGGTCCCGTTCTGTGAGCTTGTGTGGCCTACCACTTCGCGTTGTTGCTCCTAGACATTTCCACTTCACAATAACAGCACTTACAGTTGACCGGGGCAGCTCTAGCAGGGCAGAAATTTTACGAACTGACTTGTTGGAAAGGTGGCATCCTATGACGGTGCCACATTGAAAGTCACTGAGCTCTTCAGTAAGGCCATTCTACTGCCAATGTTTGTCTATGGAGATTGCATGGCGGTGTGCTCGATTTTATACACCTGTCAGCAACGGGTATGGATGAAATAGCCAAATCCACTCATTTGAAGGGGTGTCCACATACTTTTGGCCATGTAGTGTATATGTATCACATGCTAAATTCTTAACCTTGCTGTGGGTCAATGTATCTGTGCACAGGTCATCGAGTTGGTCCACAGATATGGCCCCAAGCGCTGGTCCATCATTGCCAAGCATCTGCACGGGCGTATCGGCAAGCAGTGCCGGGAGCGCTGGCACAACCACCTTAACCCTGAGGTGAAGAAGTCGTGCTGGACTCAGGAGGAGGATCGGATCATATACGCTGCTCACAAACGTATCGGGAACCGCTGGGCTGAGATAGCCAAGCTGCTGCCTGGCAGGTAGTAACACTTTTATAACAAGTCATAACACTGTTATAACAGGCTATAACACTCTGTGTGTGTCCCAAATGGCACCCTATTCTCTAGATAGTGCATTCCTTTTGACCAGAGCCCATAGGAATCTGGTCAAAAGTAGTGCACAATGTAGGGAATAGGGTGCTATTTTGGGCGCCATCTCTGTTTCTAATGGCATCAGACTTATATGTAGAAATCTCATGAGATTGATCAAATATATTTTGTTTGTCTGAATCACAGGGATATATAACAAATAACAAAAAATATAGTGTTGACAATATAGAACATAATATTGTTCTAATTCCATTTATTTGGTCTGAATCCCCCATAGGACAGACAACTCTATAAAGAATCACTGGAACTCCACCATGCTTAGGAAGGTGGAGCATGAGGGCTACCTGCAGGACGTCCCGACTCGGGTCTACAAGACCAAGGCTTCCATCAAGAAAAGGACCAAGTCCTCCTGCTCGTCCTGGCGGAGACAGAATCACTATTTCATGACTATCCCTACAAAGGTGTGCACAGATTTACCAATCAGCACAATAAACTAGGCTGAAGAAATCGACTGAAAATCACCATTGAAATCAGTCCCAAACTGTTTGTTCATTTTATTACACTGTTGTTTGTGTTGTGAATGTGTGTTTTGGTAGATTTCAGGATATTCCCTTGGCTTGTTGGATGGCCAGTACATGGACAGTGTTCCTGAAACCTCTTTCTTTGTCCCGGTGAGTATCCCCTCTCTGCACTCACTCAGCTTAGCTCAACCATGTTGCAAGTGAACTCCTTCCCTCCAATGTATAGTAGTTCCTCCTCTGTAATTCAGCATTAAATGTAAGATAAGAGTGGAATAAGACTTGTAAATCAGCTGTTTTTCCAATCTCTCCTGGGCTGCGTGTACCCCAGCAGTCGTTCACTGATGGCTCCCCCAACAAAGAGCAGAGAATTAAGGAACTCGAGCTGCTCCTTATGGCAGCCGAGAGCGAAGTTGGGAGACGAGAAGCTTCATGTGTAAGAAGGAACACGTATGTGTAGTCAGTAGTGTAGTATGCTCTAGAACCCATCCCTACCACCCTCCCCACCGGCTTCCCATCTCACTCCACTCACCCCATCTCACTCCACTCACCCCTGGTTAGCTAGCCGTTCACCCCTGGTTAGCTAGCCGTTCACCCCTGGTTAGCTAGCCGTTCACCCCTGGTTAGCTAGCCGTTCACCCCCAGTTAGCTAGCCACTCACCCCCGGTTAGCTAGCCACTCACCCCCAGTTAGCTAGCCACTCACCCATGGTTAGCTAGCCACTCACCCCCGGTTAGTTAGCCACTCACCCCAGGTTAGCTAGCCACACCCCCGGTGTCAAGCCAAACATGACAATTGGCATGAAAGTTGTATGAGGAGTTGGCAAGAGCAGAAACGCACTGATACCCAGGCTAGCTGTTCACAACATCTGTCAGGACTCTTTAGATAGATGAATGAAAAAATGCACAGTTCATGTTTAAGTTTCGGCATGAAAGTGAGGCTCCTGCTGATGTCCACCCTTAGTCTCATTACATTTACATTGGTAAATGTACACTACCAGTTACAAGTTTGGACACACCTACTCATTCAAGGGTTGTTCTTTATTTTTACTATTTTTTACATTGTCGAATAATAGTGAAGACATCAAAACTATGAAATAACACATATGGAATCATATAGTAACCAAAAAAGTGTTAAACAAATCAAAATATATTTTGTATTTGAGATTCTTCATATAGCTACCCTTTGCCTTGATGACAGCTTTGCACACTCTTGGCATTCTCTCAACCAGCTTCATGAGGTAGTCACCTGGAATGCATTTCAATTAACAGGTGTGCCTTCTTAAAAGTTTGTGGACTTTCTTTCCTTCTGAATGCGTTTGAACTAATCAGTTGTGTTGTGACAAGGTAGGGGGGTATACAGAAGATAGCCCTATTTGGTAGAAGACCAAGTCCATATTATGGCAAGAACAGCTCAAATAAGCAAAGAGAAATGACAGTCCATCATTACTTTAAGACATGAAGGTCAGTCAATACGGAACATTTCAAGAACTTTGAAAGTTTCTTCAAGTGCAGTTGCAAAAACCATCAAGCGCTATGATGAAACTGGCTCTCATGAGGACCGCCTTTTGACTGGTACTGTACACATTTTTACATTTACATTTTAGTCATTTAGCAGACGCTCTTATCCAGAGCGACTTACAGTTTAGTGAATACACATATTTTTTTATACTGGCCCCCCGTGGGAATCGACCCCACAACCCTGGCATTGCAAACGCCATGCTCTATCAACTGAGCTACATCCCTGCCGGCCATTCCCTCCCCTACCCTGGACGACGCTGGGCCAATTGTGCGCCGCCCATGAGTCTCCCGGTCGCGGCCGGCTGCGACAGAGCCTGGATTCGACCCAGGATCTCTAGTGGCACAGTTAGCACTGCGATGCAGTGCCTTAGACCACTGCGCCACTCAGGAGATCTCGTGGTCAGGAAAATTCCTGGTCCTACTCATCATTGGTTCTGACCTTTCCATAGCTCTGGTCCAGGGTGTTTTGTACGGCTTGCTTACGCTATGCCGTCAGCATTAAGGTCTCCGCTTGCTTCCCAGCTGAAACAGTTTGGAAGAGTTTGGGCATATATTATGACAAAGTTTTTGTTAGTTTTGGACTTTGGTGAGGGTTTTTCGGCCGTACGGGCACACATATTTTTTCTAGAGGCAAGCCGAAGTTCGGAGACAAAGTCTATCTTAGTTAGATGTAAAATTGCTCGACTAAGATCTCGGCAAAAACATTAAAATGAATGACAGATTTCTTGAGTTATCTTATATTAATTTGGACTATTTTGAGCTACGGTGTCTCAAAATAGACAAACAGTACTATTGCTGCTTTCTTCTCGTTTTTTCAAGCAAAGGTCTTTTAAGATAGTATGCGAGCACACTCGTTCGGTTCGACTAGACGAATTGCTGATGCCTTTAGCAATCCACATGTAACGCACTGGACCAGAGCTAACCTTTCTTTGACCCCTCCCGCTCAACAGAACACGGAAGGTCACTACTCCAGCTGGTCCAGCAGCCTGACAGACGACGGTCTGACCAACACGACCCTGAGCAGCTTGGGGGACCAGAGTATGGAGGGCCATGGCTCGGCTGTCTACACTCCTATGTCTCCCAGCAGGTTCCTGGCCGTGGAGGCAAGCGCTGTCCTCTCCTCCCTACAAACCATCCCCGAGTTCGCAGAGACTCTGGAGCTCATTGACTCGGTCAGTTGGGTGATTCTCATGAAAGCAGTTTTAACCATGGAAGTAGCAAAATGAGTTAGAAAAACCATGATGCATCTGCAACAATCAACTATCATTCTGAAGACTATGTTGCATAGTTTATGGCACAGTGTCTCATTTTAAATACATTTTAAATTTTCGCCTGAATTTTATACATTTTCAGGCCAAATTCTTAATACTGAAATGCGTCCGTATTAAATTGTCGGGGCATTTTATACAATTTTACTTTAGAAAACCCCAATTTATTTGAATAAAAAACCAAATATGTTGCTGTAGTTTGTCCATAAATCAGAAAAATTGTATACTAGGTGAAGTTTACGTTAAGCTATAATGTTTATTACGTAAAAACACAGTGTCTGGACATGTTTCTCATTACCATAGCAATTTTTCAAGTTGCTGTAAATACTCCAATCATTTTTTAAATAAAGTTTTATTCACCCATGATACATTATCTAGAGGAGCAGTCCTTAGATGAGCACAAGTTCATTTAATGTCTTCACTTATATGCCTTCAGAATGAGGATCTTATTCTCAAACAACCCCTTTATGACAATTGACCTTCTCATTACCGAAATGACTAAAAAGCTCAAATTGAGAATAACTTAGAGAACTATTACCTTACCAACATGGAGGCATGATTGGGCTTTAGTGATGTGGTCAATTGTTTGCTGATTCATAATAGCTGTCTCCTATTACTTGCAGATTGAGCTAAGGGCCTCTCAATACCGAAACACACATTTTTCATTACTGTATCATTTTAAGGTCCTTTTCGGTAATGAGATCCTTAATTTCGGCAATGATAATAAGCTAATTCTAATGTATGTAATGGGTGTGCTGTGCTGGTAACTTTAATTATTTACTAAGACCACTCCTTACACCTATTGTATAGATTTTTTGTAAAACATCAGTTATTTGATTAAGTAGGGTTTGTCAAGAAATATCAGTGTATAAACCCCATTTATTTAACTTAAAGCCACAATCTGGAGTTTGTGTTTCAGCAAAGAGCAATCTTCCATTTAAAGGAGGATATCCCCCATTTTGACATGTGTACCTGTTTTAGCACTTACGTATACTGTTGTTTGATATCCCAAGACAGTTTTTAGGCCATATCCCACATATTTAGATACTTTATAGGCATATCATATTTGCTCATAGGATCCCATTCAATTTAGAAATCAATCTAAAATACCTTAGAACCACACATATCCATGTCCTAAAACACCAATGTTACCTGTAAACACCTTGGAGAAAGTCCCTTATTTATGCTTAAGTCCACTTCTGACTTTTGAAAATACATGCATGTAATTACAGTACTTATACACTGAACAAAAATATAAACACAACATGCAATAATTTCAAAGATTTACACTTCATATAAGGAAATCAGTCAATTGAAATAAATTCATTAGGCCCTGGTCTATGGATTTCACATGACTGGGAATACAGATATGCATCTGTTGGTAACAGATGCCTTAAATAAAAAAGGTAGGGGTGTGGATCAGAAAACCAGTCATGTGGTGTCTGGATGTGACCACCATTTGCCTCATGCAGCGCGAAACATCTCCTTTGCATAGAGTTGATCAGGCTGTTAATTGTGGCCTGTGGAATGTTGTCCCACTCTTTAATGGCTGTGCAAAGTTGCTGGATAACGGCGGGAACTGGAACACGCTGTCAACGTCGATCCAGAGCATCCCAAACATGCTCAATAGGTGACATGTCTGGTGAGTATGCAGGCCATGGAAGAACTGGGACATTTTCAGCTTCCAGGAATTGTGTACAGACCCTTGCGACATGGGGCTGTGCGTTATCATGCTGAAACATGAGGTGATGGCAGCGAATTAATGGCATGACAATGGGCTTCAGGATCTCGCCACGGTATCTCTGTGCATTCATTTTGCCATCGATAAAATGCAATTGTGTTCGTTGTCCGTAGCTTATACCTGCCCATACCATAACCCCACCGCCACCATGGGGCACTCTGTTCACAACGTTAACATCAGCAAACCACAAGATGCCACACAAGATGCCATACACGCTGTCTGCCATCTGCCCGGTACAGTTAAAACCGGGATTCATATGTGAAGAGTACACTTCTCCAGCGTGCCAGTGGCCATCAAAGGTGAGCATTTGCCCATTGAAGTCGGTTACGACGCGAACTGCAGTCAGGTCAAGACCCTGGTGAGGACGACGAGCACGCAGATGAGCTTCCCTGAGACGGTTGTGCAAACCCACAGTTTCATCAGCTGTCCAGGTGGCTAGTCTCAGATGATCCCGCAGGTGAAAAAGCTGGGTGTGGAGGTCCTGGGCTGGCGTGGGTACACGTGGTCTGCGGTTGTCAGGCCATTGAAAGTGCTGCAAAATTCTCTAAAACGACGTTGGTAAATAAATTAAAATTCAATTCTCTGGCAACAGCTCTGGTGGACATTCCTGCAGTCAGCATGCCAATTGCAGGCCAATCTGTGGCATTGTGTTGTGTGACAAAACTGCACATTTTAGAGTGGCCTTTTATTGTCTCCAGCACAAGGTGCACATGTGTAATGATCGTGCTGTTTAATTAGCTTCTTGATATGCCACACCTGTCAGGTGGATGAATTATCTTGGCGAAGGAGAATTGCTCACTAACAGGGATTTAAACACATTTTTGCACAAAATTTGAGAGAAATATGCTTTTTGTGCGTATGGAACATTTCTGGAATCCTTTAGTTCAGCTCATGAAACATGGGACTAACACTTTACATGTTGCGTTTATATTTTTGTTCAGTGTACTTATGCTAAAATAACGGGTCTTTAGTCAATTGCGTTATCAGTGATTTTAGTTTTATGCAAGTCATTTGGGGTTGACAAATGACACAGTTTGATGATGTATTGGGTTACTGAATCTCTAATAGAGCCCGGTACAGTTTTTCAATGGCAAACTATGAAACACTCATTACCGAAACATGCATTCTCATCTCTGAAACCTGTTTATCATTACTGTAATGCACCAATATTGATAAAATATTAGGAAAAATAAAATGTGTACTTGAGTAATTTTGGCTTAATCTGATAGTGTGCCTTTTGTTCTCTATCTAATATGTCATTATAAATACCTAAACATGCCAAGTAGCTATGACAAAAGAAACTAGATTAAGAAAAGGTTATGTGTTGCGGAAAAATGACAAAATACATTTTAATAATTACATTTTAAATATATTTGTTTTCAGTGTCAGGCCTTTTAATTAGATGAGCAATGTACAAAAAATATTAGAAATATATTTGTTTAACTTTTTTTGGACTTCGAAAACTCTTGCTGTAATGAGAATTTTTGGATTGGTAGTTGTTGAAATTGTGGTAAAATGCATAATATCTGATCAATAAACATAACAATCATTATGAAATCGATAAATACAGATCCTGATCTTAGTGATCCAAGAGGAATTATGGTGGAAAATGTGTTTCTTTTTTTTTGTCATTTTGTTTTGTCAAATGAAAATTATTAGCATTCTATTTATGTGGTAGTGCTCCTCCTGTCTCCCTGTTGGGTCTGACTCAGTATGACACATAGATACAATATAATACTACAACAAGTTGTCTATTTAATTCTGTGGTGTTATTTCTGCTCTTTTTCCTCCTGTCTCTCATGTTTATTTTCAAACGAAGCACTGGCTCAGTTTTTTCATCCTGTGAAGTGTGTTCATAGATTAAGGTTATTGAACATGCAGATAACTGTTAGGTTGTGTAATTCTGGTTAACAATCCAAATACAATTAAGTATAGTCATTGTGTTATAATCACGTTTATGTCAAACCATTCATTCTTATTTGACCCTGTAGGACCCAGTGGCTTGGAGCGAGGTGACCAGTTTCAGCCTGAAGGAAATGACTTCGCCCCTGAAACAGGAAGTGACATTGTCTGTCTCTCAGGTGGGGATGCCAGAAGGAGCTAGCTACCATTTTGAGGACTCAGTCATAATGGACCTGAGTGAGAAATACACTGAACTGATGCCTGCCTCTTCACCCAACGTGACCAAGCTGAGCACACCTACCTCCATCCTGAAGAGGAGGGAGAGTGGGGAGCAGTACCCTGCTAGTCAGTGTCACAGCGCCTCCTTTTTGGATAACAGCACCTCCTCACCTAGCATCACTCATGTCAAAGCACTGCCATTCTCTCCCTCCCAGGTACGATGTCCTGTTTAGGTAATGTATAATATAATACCATCAAGTAATTATGCAAACCACTGATCTATGATCTAAACAGATCAACATTCACAAGGCCACAGGGCAGACGGATTACAAGGACGTGTGCGCTGACCAACTGGCAAGTGTCTTCACTGACGTTATCAACCTGTCCCTGACTGAGTCTGTAATACCAACATGTTTCAAGCAGACCACCATAATCCCTGTGCCCAAGAACACCAAGGTAACCTGCCTAAATGACTATCGACCCGTAGAACTCACGTCTGTAGCCATGAAGTGCTTTGAAAGGCTGGTCATGGCTCACATCAACACCCTCATCCCAGAAACCCTAGACCCACTCCAATTCGCATACCGCCCCAACAGATCCACAGATGACACAATCTCTATTGCACTCCACACTGCCCTTTCCCACCTGGACAAAATGAACACCTAAGTGAGAATGCTGTTCATTGACTACAGCTCAGTGTTCAACACCATAGCTTAGTGAGGAGCTCTGAGCGCACTAAGGACCCTGGGACTAAACACCTCCCTCTGCAACTGGATCCTGGACTTCCTGATGGGCCGCCCCCAGGTGGTAAGGGTAGGCAACAACACATCTGCCACACTGATCCTCAACACGGGCCCTTCAGGAGTGCTTAGTCCCCTGCTGTACTCCCTGTTCACCCACGACTGCGTGGCCAAGCACGACTCCAACACCATCATTAAGTTTGCCGTCAACACAACGGTGGTAGGCCTGATCAACGACAACGATGAGACAGCATATAGGGAGGAGGTCAGAGACCTGGCAGTGGGGTGCCAGGACAACAACCTCTCCCTCAATGTGATCAAGACAAAGGAGATGACTCCCGAGTTGCGCAATGGTCTAAGGCACTGCATCGCAGTGCTAGCTGTGCCACTAGAGATCCTGGTTCGAGTCCAGGCTCTGTCGCAGCCGGCCGCGACCGGGAGACCCATGGGCGGCACACAATTGGTCCAGCGTCGTCCAAGGTAGGGGAGGGTTTGGCCGGCAGGGATGTGGGTTCGTTTCCCACGGGTGGCCAAGTATGAATTAAAATAAAAATAAAAAAATAATAACATGTATGCATTCACTAACTGTAAGTCGCTCTGGATAAGAGCGTCTGCTAAATGACTAAAATGTAAATGTTAATGATCATGGACTACAAGAAAAGGAGGGCCAAGCACGTCCCCATTCTCATCGACGGTGCTGTAGTGGAGCAGGTTGAAAGCTTCAAGTTCCTTGGTGTCCACATCACCAACAAACTATCGTGGTCCAAACACACCAAGACAGTTATGAAGAGGGCACGACAATGCCTGTTCCCCCTCAGGAGACTGAAAAGATTTGGCATGGGTCCTCAGATCCTCAAAAAGTTAAACAGCTGCACCATCGAGAGCATCCTGACTGGTTGCATCACCGCCTGGTATGGCAACTGCTCGGCCTCCGACCGCAAGGCGCTACAGAGGGTAGTGTGTACGGCCCAGTACATCACTGGGGCCAAGCTTCATGCCATCCAGGACTTCTATATCAGGCGGTGTCAAGAGGAAGGCCCTAAAAATTGCCAAAGACTCCAGCCATCCGGAGCGCCAAATCTATGTCCAAAAGGCTTCTTAACAGCTTCTACCCCCAAGCCATAAGACTGCAGAACAGCTAATCAAATGGCTACCCGGACAATTTGCATTAAAAATATATATATAATTGCTGCTGCTACTCGCTGTTTATTATCTATGCATTCACTTCACCCCTACCTACATGTATATATTACCTCAATTACCTTGACTAACCTGTACCCTCGCACATTGACTCGTTACCGGTACCCCCTGTATATAGCCTCGTTATTGTTATTTTATTGTTACTTTTAATTTTGTAAATATTTTCTTAACTCTCATTTCTCTTAAAACTGCATTGTTGGTTAAGGGCTTGTAAGTAAGCATTTCACGGTAAGGTCTACACCTGTTGTATTCGGTGCATGTGACAAATATAATTTGATTTGATTGTCATATAATTATAATAATTTATTCTCTGCAAATTGACCACAACTAAGCCCAAAAAGAGATTGTATTTGAAAATGACAATAATTTCATATCTTGATTACCGTAATTTTCGGACTATAAGCCGCGCCTTTTTTCCCATTTTTCGACCCTGCGGCTTATATAACGGTGCGGCTAATCTATGGATTTTTACAGCTAACGGCCACTAGAAGACCTCCTAGGTATTAAACATTAAAACACCTGCGGCTTATAGTCCAGTGCGGCTTATATATGTACACATCATTCAATTTAGCTGCTGCGGCTTATATTCCGGTGCGCCTTATAGTGCGGAAAATACGGTACATTGAGACACAATTGCATATGTCTATAATTGGTGAACAGATTTCCTAAATGAAACTCATTTTTAGCAGAATTCCTGGAGATGTTATTTTATTTTACCAAAAACTAAAATCCCCTAAAAACGTTGGGCTAAAAACCTAGGCGGGTCCAAGAAAGTCACTTGCGCGCCGGTTTTGGCCCGCGGGCCTCCTGTTGCCGACCCCTGCAGTAGAGTACATTTGTGATATATTATATAAATATATGGTACAAACACTACCCTGAACTTCTGTATTTCTCTGTAGTTTTTCAACGTGTCTGGAGTTGAGGATTTGACTCTAGACAACCCAGCTCTGACGTCCACCCCAGTGTGCGGTCACAAACGTGCCAACACCACCCCCCTCCAGAAGGAGTTAACAACTAAGTATCAGAAGGAGAATGCTGGGTAAGTGAGTTTTCTAGAACAGTTCTGTGTTAATATTTCACTCCTCCACCCATAGAGGGTTTCTCACATGCATGTACTGTCTGACTGTGTTACAAGGTTCAGGACCCCCAAGATTCGTAAAGCCATCATGTTTCCCATGCCACTAACTCCAACACCCTTCAAGACTGTCACGGCCACCCAAGAGAAGATGCAGGCCCAGCTGAAAATGATGGTATATTTATAACACAGGAATAACATGTTTATAAGTAATGTCTGTATTGTGTGTATTGTATTTGTCGTGTGAGGGGATGTAACTCTTCCTGAGTGATGTGTGTGTGACTGCGTGCGCGCGCGTCCATGTATGTGTGTGCCCTTGCTCATGTTTCTATGTGTGTGTGTGGGTTCTGTTAGATGCAGCAGCCCCAGTCCCTGGCCTACCTGGAGGAAGAGGTGCTGAGAGAGGAGAACAAGGTTGATATGTTAATTCATGGAGAAACTCAGGCTGACTTCTGCTCCTCCTGGAAACATGAGGTATCCGAAGCTCGTATTCATCCATAGAGATTTGTACACAGTAATTATGAAGTAATTCAATTCCATTCAAACAACTTTATTTGTCCCCTTAGGGCAATTATGTCAGGGCTATAGCGGTGCTTAAGACACATTCAACAAACAACAAATGAGCACTAAAGAGTAAATGGAGAATAAATAGACAAGAACATGAGATATATTGACTTCAAAGTGCCGTCCAATAAATATATTAGTATTAAACATAGATGGAAATAAACATTTTGTTTTTTTACAGTCCTATCCATTCCATGTTTTGTAACCCAGGTTGATCCATCGTCCAGGAGTGTTAGGAAATCCCTGGCTGTGGAACCCTGGAGTAAGGACTGCCACAGTGCTAAACTCTATTCCCAAGAACACTTCAACAATGTACAGGTGAGAGGAGAGGATCAGTGAGAAATCCCTATTAAAGTTACCATCAGAAACACTGAAAATGAGACTCATACAGACTATTGTAGATGAGGGTGGCAAACCACGGTGAGAGTGAAGGACAATTAAGAGAGGATTGAAGAATGAGACAGTACTTTAAAACTCTGTCTCAGATCCATGGGGAGAGCCTGCTGACCAGCGCGCCCCTGAGGTCATCCATGCTGGGCTGTGAGGAGCTGGTGTACTCGCCATCCCCTGTAGTAGTACCAGGGAGAGAGGAGCCATGCTGTTACCTGCCCCACCACACCCTCACCATCGCCCCGAGGAGAGACGACAACTGTGAGTGGGATGCTGTGGTATTTGGGAAGACTGATGATCAGATGATCGTAGCTGAGCAGGCCAGACAGTTCCTCAGCTCCCAGACACCTGGCTTTACCTCCAGAACCTTTGGTACTCTGACAGGATCTCAATACTACTTAGGCTGTTTTTAGACATTCAGCCCAATTCTGATTTTGTTTGCCACTAATTGGTCTTTTGACCAATCAGATCAGATCTTTTGCCAGTAATTGGGCAAAAGATCAGAATTGGGCTGCTTTAGTAGTGCAGCTTTAGTAGCTAACAGTTAGCCTGGTCCTTCTGTTTGTGCTGTCTGGCTTGACACTGACGATGGGAGTTGGCAAGAGAGCACAAACAGATCTGGGTCAGACTAGCTAACAGTCACTAAGATAGTTTTTACACAGAGGTATGCTAATACTAGACAATCTTACTATAGGTAGGAAACATCATATTACCTACTTTTATTTTTTGTCCAAGATTCCCACAAAACAACCACTTGTATTTCTTTATTTGTCTGTTTTCAATTAGAGGTTGATAGGAAAATGACAACCACATGTAGCCGATTAACCATACTGGTAGCAATTAATGTAAGTTATTTTGTATTTAATAACCTTATTTTGAATGTGCTCCGTTAGCACTTATTATTTAAAAGGTGAATATGAAGAGAAATTCATAAATTGAAGTCTTAAAGACCATAATTCTGTTGATTTTGCACTATAAAAAAGTGGTATCTGTATGTGATGCATACTGTAGCAAGAGAAAGGTGGAGGCATTTAATGAATGTTTTCTGCATTGAAGGTGCAGAGAAATTGGAATGGGTACCTTTTTAATTTATTGTGCAGAAGCCTTTGAAGCTTTTCTCATCAAAAATCATATTTAAGTTGGACATCTGAAGGTGTTAATGCTGTGTTACTGTTAAACAAAACCCCACCTGATCTGAATTTTTAACACTTCATCAGTGAATCATGTTGGATACTGAATGTACTTTTCAAAACTTATATTGAAATGTACTGTTACTTCTTTGCACAGACTGTAAACATTTTCTAATTATTTTGAATTGGACAATAGCTTGTGTATCTAATATCTCTCCCTGGAGATGAAAGCATTGCAAAAACACATCCTGCCCCATGTTCACATTTTGTCCCATATTATTACAAACACCGTTGACAGCCTTCCACCTCAGATGTCTATGCAGATGCAAATTGCACTTATTGTTTTCAAAATGTGTGTATTCCTTTGGATGTAGCATACACATTTTGTTATGAGTTAATGTACTGTTAACTGTTATTATTAACCAGAAGTAATGGTGATGGAGGAGTTTGGTATTGTGGCATGATACTGTGTGCATATTTTGCTGCTACTGAGACAAAGCAGGTCATGCACTTCTGAGGGTCAGAAGCCATTGGAAAAAACTGCCTGGGATAAACATACTTGATGTGTACATAAGTTAAAGTACTTGCTCTATGGGTGTCAAAAGAGTTTGTTTTATGTTTATGAAAGGTACACTGATGCAGTGTAGAATGATTTTACTTACCGGTAGCTAAAATTGTAAAATGGATAGGTATGTAAACTGATTCCTTTCTTAGCAAAGTTTTAAACATGGATTTTAATTTGAAATCATAAAACACTATTTAGCAAGTTCCGTAAGGCATTTTTAAGAAGGTCAAGTGTTGATCTACAGTATTTGATTCTGAATCTTAGTGTGTTAATAGTTTTACCCTACATTAAGAAGTATTTTATCAACCCGTGCAAGCTATAGGTAATACATCCAGCTAAATATAGGGAGTGACATTTTTTGGCAAATAGGTTTCAGTTGGTAGGAGTACTAGGGCAACTGAAGGATATTCCAATCAAAGTTCATTTCAAGTGTACTGCATCTTTGTGTAAAGATTTATTGTAATATGGTTTAACATTTTGTTTACCTGTAATATAGTTTATTTTTAAACCTGTTCCTAATTATAGGTTTGGAGGGGAAAAGGTACATGCAGCACTTTGGTCTTTTATAAAATATAAATTTGTTTTTCAGTTTTTATGACACATTGTTTATGTCACCTATGTATAGAGTCACTGCCAACTCATGCACATGTACCTCAGTTTGGTAATAATAAAATGCTAAAACTATTATCTTGTGTTGCAGTAAGTTCCCACTAGAGGAGTGTGTTTTGCTTTTGAGTGCCTGAAGACTGGGTGGGCAGGATGCTCAATCTTCAATGTCATTCATACTATGAAGAAGGCAAACAATGATGTAACATTACAATGTATTTTATAAAAATATAATATATACAATATGTACAAATTAAAGTGAAGCAACAGTGCAAATAACAATGGGGTAAAAACAGCTAAAAATAAGGGATCACGGTTGGATATAAACAGTAAAGAAGACGGACATGTACCTTTGCTGTACTCCATTAATCTCAATGGTAAATAGAGGATAAACAACATACTCCAGAACAAGTAGTGCAACATGTCACATGCTTATGATAGATCTTTCACTATTACCCCAAAATATGACAGCTATAATAGCTACAGTTTTGTGAACTGTGTAGTTTGTGTTTTGATTAACTTAACAGCCATGGAAACTACCACAGAATAAAGGTCTGCACAAACAGTACCAGTCAAAAGTTTGGACACACCTACTCATTCCAGGGTTTTTCCATTTGTACTATTTTCTACATTGTAGAATAATAGTGAAGACATCAAAACTATGAAATAACACATACAGTTGAAGTCGGAAGTTTACATACACCTTAGCCAAATACATTTAAACTCAGTTTTTTACAATTCCTGACATTTAATCCTAGTAACAATTCCCTGTTTTAGGTCAGTTAGGATCACCACTTTATTTTAAGAATGTGAAATGTCAGAATAATTGTTGAGAATGATTTACTTCAGCTTTTATTTCTTTCATCACATTCCCAGTGGGTCAGAAGTTTACATACACTCAATTAGTATTTGGTAGCATTGCCTTTAAATTGTTTAACTTGGGTCAAATGTTTCGGGTAGCCTTCCACAAGCTTCCCACAATAAGTTGGGTGAATTTTGGCCCATTCCTCCTGACAGAGCTGGTGTAACTGAGTCAGGTTTGTAGGCCTCCTTGCTCGCACACGCTTTTTCAGTTCTGCCCACACATTTTCTATAGGATTTAGGTCAGGGCTTTGTGATGGCCACTCCAATACCTTGATTTTGTTGTCCTTAAGCCATTTTGCCACAACTTTGGAAGTATGCTTGGGGTCATTGTCCATTTGGAAGACCCATTTGCGACCAAGCTTTAACTTCCTGACTGATGTCTTGAGATGTTGCTTCAATATATCCACATAATTTTCCTCATGATGCCATCTATTTTGTGAAGTGCACCAGTCCCTCCTGCAGCAAAGCACCCCCACAGCATGATGCTGCCACCCCCGTGCTTCACGGTTGGGATGGTGTTTAGCGGCAGGTAGCTTAGTGGTTAAGAGCGTTGTGCCAGTAACCGAATGGTCGCTGGTTCTAATCCCCGAGCCGACTAGGTGAAAAATCTGTCTGTGCCCTTGAGCAAAGCACTTAACCCTAATTGCTCCTGTAAGTCGCTCTGGATAAGAGCGTCTGCTAAATGACTAAAATGTAATGTAAAATGTGTTTTCCTCCAAACATAACGATGGTCATTATGGCCAAACAGTTCTATTTTTGTTTCATCAGACCAGAGGACATTTCTCCAAAAAGTAAGATCTTTGTCCCCATGTGCAGTTGCAAACCGTAGTCAGATTTTTTTATGGTGGTTTTGGAGCAGTGGCTTCTTCCTTGCTGAGCGGCCTTTCAGGTTATGTCGATATAGGACTCGTTTTACTGTGGATATAGAAACTTTTGTACCTGTTTCCTCCAGCATCTTCACAAGGTCCTTTGCTGTTCTGGGATTGATTTGCACTTTCGCACCAAAGTACGTTCATCTCTAGGAGATAGAACGCATCTCCTTCCTGAGCGGTATGACGGCTGCGTGGTCCCATGGTGTTTATACTTGCGTACTATTGTTTGTACAGATGAACGTGGTACCTTCAGGCATTTGGAAATTGCTCCCAAGGATGAACCAGACTTGTGGAGGTCTACAATTATTGGCTGATTTACATTTACATTTTTTTACATTTTAGTCATTTAGCAGACGCTCTTATCCAGAGCGACTTACAGTTAGTGAATGCATACATGTTTTTTTTTCATACTGGCCCCCCGTGGGAAACGAACCCACATCCCTGCCGGCCAAACCCTTCTTTTGATTTTCCCATGATGTCAAGCAAAGAGGCACTGAGTTTGAAGGTAGGCCTTGAAATACATCCACAGGTACACCTCCAATTGACTAAAATGATGTCAATTAGCCTATCAGAAGCTTCTAAAGCCATGACATCATTTTCTGGAATTTTCCAAGCTGTTTAAAAGGCACAGTCAACTAAGTGTATGTAAACTTCTGACCCACTGGAATTGTGATACAGTGAATTATAAGTGAAATAATCTGTCTGTAAACAATTGTTGGAAAGATTACTTGTGTCATGCACAAAGTAGATGTCCTAACCGACTTGCCAAAACTATAGTTTGTTAACAAGAAATGTGTAAACTTCCGACTTCAACTGCATGGAATCAAGTAGTAACCAAAAAAGTGTTAAACAAATCAAAATATATTTGAGATTCTTCAAAGTAGCAACCCTTTGCCTTGATGACAGCTTTGCACACTCTTGGCATTCTCTCAACCAGCTTCATGAGGTAGTCACCTGGAATGCATTTCACTTAACAGGTGTGCCTTGTTAAAAGTTAATTTGTGGAATTTCTTTCCTTCTTAATGCGTTTGAGCCAATCAGTTGTGTTGTGACAAGGTAGGGTTGGTATACAGAAGATAGCCCTATTTGGTAAAAGACCAAGTCCATATTATGGCAAGAACAGCTCAAATAAGCAAAGAGGAACTACAGTCCATCATTACTTTAAGACATGAAGGTCAGTCAATCTGCACAATTTCAATAACTTTGAAAGTTTCTTCAAGTGCAAGTGCAAAAACCATCAAGCACTATGATGAAACAGGACAATGACCCAACACACCTCCAGGCTGTGTAAGGGCTATTTGACCAAGAAGGAGAGTGATGGAGAGCTGCATCAGATAACCTGGCCTCCACAATCCCCCGACCTCAACCCAATTGAGATGGTTTGGGATGAGTTGGACCGCAGATTGAAGGAAAAGCAGCCAACAAGTGCTCAGCATATGTGGGAACTCCTTCAAGACTGTTGGTAAAGCATTCCAGGTGAAGCTGGTTGAGAGAATGCCAAGAGTGTGCAAAGCTGTCATCAAGGCAAAGGGTGCCTACTTTGAAGAATTTGTTTTAACACTTTTTTGGTTACTACATGATTCCATATGTGTTATTTCATAGTTTTGATGTCTTCAATATTATTCTACAATATAGAAAAAATAATGGAAAACCCTTCAATGAGTAAGTGTCCAAACTTTTGACTGGTACTGTACATGATACAATTCTAAGAGATAAACAATCAGTCAGGTTCGAATGCTACATTGATGGAGCCATTGACGGAGCAATTTACATCTCCCAGTCCCTGGGCGTCACTCCTCCTCCGGTGGCCCTTGGACAGCACACGGTGCAGCAGGCTGGGGGAGCTGTGGGCTGAGCCTGACTTTGAGGAGGCCTTGTGTCCCAAAGCCCGTAAGAGGCTCTCTTTCTCATGCCTGGGGAGCTTTGGAGTACTACGACTGCTGCATACATAAAGAGGGAAACAAACACAGAGGGCTTCTTGTTGATTCTCTGACCCAATTTATAGAAGTCCTATGGGAGGGGAAAACTGCATAAGGTGGGAACAACTAAAAATATTCTAGTTTTTTATTTAAAACTGTTAAACAAATTACTATACTGAGGACAACTACAATCAACTGAAGTCAATTGCCTCTGTGGTTTTGTTGGGTGGGGAGGAGGTGGGATTGGATCACAGATGTTCTTACCTTGTGCAGCCACAGGGGGCATCAGGAGCTGCATCCTTGGATGAACTCCGTAACGAGCTTGGATTGGCATTCACTGGCTCATGATCATCACTCTGTAAACACAAACCAAACTCACTTGCCAAAATTAGACCTCCTGGTCAACATCCATGAATACATCATCAAGTTTTTGTCCAACAATTAGTTGGGAGGGTTTATTTCTGTTGAGTTCATTGCCAGGAAGCTATATTATATATCTACACGGTAAGTTCTACACTGTGAAAACATGCTTGAAATCTATTTTTAGTGCAATATCTGGATGAGGAACCTTAAAATGAAAAGTTGTTAGCATACAAAAATAGAAAAAACTTTCTACATTCCTTTTTTTTATTTTATTTTTTTATCTTGCTTTTCAGCAGGCAGAGGAAAACCTTACCTGGTTCAGTCTGGTCACACATGCGGTTGGGAAGTACCCCTCTGCCCCGTTCTGTAGACGCCCGAACCACCACGACGGCTCATCTCTGAAGAGAACTTGGATGACGTCACCCTGACATAGTTGAAGCTCATCTGGCCAATGAGGCCTGTAGTTGACTGCTGCTACCACCTGAAGGAGAAGAAGTAAGTTACCACTGTAAGTCAATAAGAGACAAAGGACAATGTACAACTCAAGGAAAAGTTGATCTATGTTTGGTTCCAACTTCCAGAACCTCTTTCATTTGTTTACGCAAGACGATAAGAACTGAGCATGCTCTCTCCCTTTCCCTGAGACAACTGAAGTTAAACTCTGTGCACTCAGAATATTAAATCATGCTATATAGCCTATTCTTGAGATTTAATTAATGAATTAATATATTTAATTCATGAATTGTCTATCTTGCTGAACCAACAGGTCACAGAGGCCAAACCCAGCCGCTGCTCTTTCATTCAAAATGTCCCCACAGAAGACCAGATAAGAGGATTATCTTGTCTTAAATTACAAGTACTGTATGTCCTTCTTACACTGACATCAGTGACATGTAACTTTTGCCAGGAGAGAGACTTGGACACTACCGTGGACAGTGTATTTGTTGCTCTATGTAAACAGTAGTTACTGTACAGTTTATGAGCACAGAAGTTAGATAATAATGAGTTACTGAACACTAGCCAAAGAGAGGGATAAGAGTCTATCTCGGTCTCCTGTTCCTCATGTCTGTCAACAGTCCAAGGCTGTCTGGAGTTGATCTCCTTTAAATAACCTGTAGAGAGCTATATATAGATGGTCCTTAGCTGTGATGTGGAAAACGGAGAGGGGGGTCAAGGCCTGCCTGGAGGAGTAGGCTAAACCACACAATAGGGGGCAACACTGCTTCCCTCAAGTCATTCCCTTATGTCACTTTCTGCTGAGACAGCCCACCCTTACCTGTTTTTTCAACCAATCACATCTGACTAATCTTGCAAAATTATAAGTACACCTTTGTAGCTCTACTATATACTGTATAGTTTTCACTGTGTTCATCTTATCATGCATTCATTTTGTTGCTCCATTCCTCTAGTCTAAATGACAACACATCTTGATCCTCTGCAGAACATCACCCTGACACTGGATCGTTCACATCTGTGATGTTCTGGTTGTGACTTACTATACATGTAGCTCTATCAATAATGAGAAATCATTAACATACCTTCACTGCTTCCCTAGGCCTGTATCTTGTTCTTGCTCTACAAGCTGATAAAAAAGGGTTGAAATTTAGATATGAAGTCATAAAGAGCTGTTAGGCAAGATGACAGCAAAACTATGATAGGCTCCCGAAAACCAGTTAATGAAAATAACCTGAAAAGGCAAATAAATTAATCTCTATGCACAATAATAACCTCAATAAAGACCAAGACAGTATGACAACATGAGACTAGCCCATAATAGAACTGGGTCCGTAATGGATCAAGAGTCTCAGAGTACTCTAGGATAAGTTACTTCCTGTTCATGCATTCTTATTCATTGTGATTCAAGGCAAAACTGATCCTAAATTAGCACTCCTACACTGAGAAACTTCATACCTACAGCCCCAGAGAGGATTGCAGGTGGTACTCACCTTGTGGGGGGAAGACAGTGGTGAACACCTCAAAGTGCCCATCACTCTGCATGTATATCTTCTGCATCCTCTCCTGCTGTGTCTGAGACACTGTCTGGCAGCCCCACACTATAGCTCTCCGCTTTAAATAACACCAGTGTCACTAATCCCACTGCACAGAAACACAGTAACACATACCCTTGCCCTCCATCACACACACACGCAAGTCGCATACAACAGTGTTTCTTCGAACTCGCTGACACCTTTGAATCTATTTTCATCTGCAATCTGTTATTTTTATTCAAACGAATACGATGACGCAAAACAAAACTGAGCTCAACAAAAAGTATGATTGATCCACCATTAACATTTTAAATCGTTGCCATGTAAAAACACAAGTATAATGTACTGCAGATTTTTTCTGTCTACTCATTCATTTGTAGCCCACATAATAAAATGTGGTTTTAATTAAAGTTTACAGTATTTAAATTACTATTAATTAATTGCAATACTTAAATCTATTGAAATTCTTATTTTCTTATTCAGAAAAATTAAATGTGATATATGCATATATGAACAGGAGTGAAAAAATAAACATTGCCAAGACATGCTGTGAGAGGCGGCAAAGAAAACAGAAACTAAAATGATTTAGTGATTTTAAGGGATCAGAGTCATGTACGTTTAGAAAATATCAATTATTCTTCCTATACTTGTAACCTAAAATGTATTTATTTTGACATCCAGTTATATCCTGCTTTACATCAGGACCTAACAGTAATGAGGATGGACCGTAAATCTATTGCCATGTCAATATACAGTATCTATAATTAATAATGGCACCCTATTCCCTATATAGTGCACCAGTTTTGAACAAAAGTGAATAGGGTGCCATTTGGGATGCAATGATATTCTGTATCATATTGATACCTTAACTTGGCTCTCTTTCTCTCAATGGACTTTAAAATCTCTCCTAGTGTGCTCTCCTGGGTTAACCCACTTAAAAGCAGCCAGATCAGAGATTTTCTAAGCATTAGGGCACACTTTACATAACAGTTAACCTGAGTAATCTGGAAACTAGATTAAAAATAGTACACTTCTAAGAATGACGCAACACTGCCAAAACAATATAGTCCAGTCCAGACCAGTACAATCTATTCTCAAATGAATGGGTGGGGAACATGACAGCAACTGTGTACTATATTGTAGTAAATACGAATCAAAACTCACATTTGAAATAGGGGTAATATACTGTATAATCAAATAAGGAACCTTATCATTTAATTGTATCTATCAATAAAATAAGGATGGGATGGCAAACCAGTGGGAGGCTACGTCTCAAATGGCACCCTATTCCCTATATAGTGCACAACGTTTGACCAGAGCCCTATGGGTACTGGTCAAAAGTAGTGTGCTGAATAGGGTGCCATTTGAGAACCAGTGAGAGATAAGCACAGAATCCTTTGGGCTCTCATCATCTCACACAGGTACAGTAGGAGAGTGGGTGATGACAAACAAGAGAGCCAGTCTTAGTACAGCTTCAGGGAGGCCTCAAACAAATGACTCAAATCTTCCTCTGTGTGTTCCCTAGGAGACAGCTTTGTCACCCTTTCCTGCAAGAGACCATAGTGACACGATCAGGGGCAGACACAGGAAATTCCATTCAGAAAAAGAGACAAAGTACATGTAATGCATTATGAATAAGAAAGTAACACTAGCACACTCAACTCTCCTTGCTTGTGGGTTTATTACCAACATTTGGGCTCAATAGCCTTCATCAGGGCGTGAAAGAACGTGTTTTGCACAGCTAATGTGAACCATTTCTAATGTGTAGTTACCTGAGGTATTGTTCCTCTCACTAGGTCAGGTATGTCATCCTTGGTGTAGCCGACAGCACTCAGACCGTCCTCTACCTTCAGGTCATAGAGGAACTGTCTCAGGGTGTCGGCCAGGAGGAGCCCAGCGTCCGCCCTCTTGGTGTTAATCACGTCAGCCCCTGAGGAGAGACATGGAGGGGTGTGAGCTTGACATCACAAAATCAGTAAGGAAACAATAGTGCCATGCGTGCATGACACTTCTTACTACACCTATTATGCACTATATTTGACCAGTGCACTGTATATGGAATAGAGTACCCTTTGAGACAAAGTAAAAGGACATTTCTGTTAGTATTTAGTGACAACACTGTTGGGGGTGTTGTTGAGAAGAGTTGCTGTTACCAAGTATCTCTGCTGCCTCCAGGTGGCGCTCTGGACACATACTGGCAGTGAAGGCAAAAACAGCAGGAGAGGTCAGAACCACGGATAGACCATGAGGCTATAGGACAGAAGAGCAACACATGGGAACTATTAATGCTTGATAGTTAAACTGTGAATGGAGATACATATTTATGAAACAATATATTTGTTATATACAGGTAACTACCAAAATAAAGGAAACACTTGAGTAAATGAGGGATACTAAGTATACTGAACAAAAATATAAACAACAACTATTTTACTGAGTTACAGTTCATATAAGGAAATCAGTCCAATCAAATAAATTAATTAGGCCCTAATCTATGGATTTCACTTGACTGGGCAGGGGCGCAGCCATGGGTGGGCCTGGGAGGGCATAGGCCCACCCACTTGGGAGACTGGCCCACCCACTGGGGAGTAAGGCCCAGCCAATCAGAATGGGTTTCTCCCCACAAAAGGGCTTTATTACAGACATAAATACTCCTCAGTTTCATCAGATGTCCGGGTGGGTGGTCTCATACGATCCCGCAGGTTAAGAAGCCAGATGTGGAGGTCCTGGGCTGGCGTGGTTACACGTGGTCTGCGATTGTGAGGCCGGTTGGACGTACTTCCAAATTCTCTAAAACGATGTTGGGAGGCGGCTTATGGTAGAGAAATGAACATTTAATTATCTGGCAATAGCTCTAGTGGACATTCCTGCAGTCAGCATGCCAATTGCACGCTCCCTCAAAACTTGAGACATCTGTGGCATTGTGTTGTGTGACAAAACTGCACATTTTAGAGTAGCCTTTTATTGTCCCCAGCACAAGGTGCACCTGTGTAATGATCATGCTGTTTAATCAGCTTCTTGATATGCCACACCTGTCAGGTGGATGGATTATCTTGGCAAAAGAGAAATGCTCACTAACAGGAATGTAAACAAATTTGTGCACAAAACTTGAGAGAAAAAACTTTTTGTGCGTATGGAAGATTTCTGGGATCTTTTATTTCAGCTCATGAAACATGGGACCAACACTTAACATGTTGCGTAAAATGTTTTGATCAGTAAATATTGAAAGCAGGTGCTTCCACACAGGTTTGGTTCCTGAGTTAATTAAACAATTAACATGCCATCATGCTTAGAGTCATGCATACAAATGCCCAGTTGCCCATTATTTTTGGCTCCCATGGCTAGAAGAAGAGGTCTCAGTGACTTTGAAAGAGGGATTTCAAAGGAGCATAGGGGGTTTAAAGGTTGTGCGTGTCTCAGTCATCAGATCTCAACCCAATTGAACATTTATGGGAGATTCTGGAGAGGCGCCCGAGACAGCGTTTTTTCACCACCATCAACAAGATACCAAATTATGGAATTTCTCATGGAAGAATGGTGTCGCATCCCTCCAATAGTTCCAGACACTTGTAGAATCTATGCCAAGGCGGCCTAACGCCCTATTAAGACATTTAATGTTGGTGTTTCCGTTATGTTGGTGTTTCCTTTATTTTGGCAGTTACCTGTATATAAACACGGAGTATACAAAACATTAGGAACACCTTTCTAATATTGAGTTGCACCCTCCCCCCCTTTTGCCCTCAGAACAGCCTCAATTCGTCGGGCCATGGACTCTGCAAGGTGTCAAAAGCGTTCAACAGGGATGCTGGCCCATGTTGACTCCAATGCTTCCCACAATGCTTCCCAAGTTGGCTGGATGTCCTTTGGGTGGTGGACCATTCTTGATACACACCGGTGCACCTGGCACCTACTACCATACCCCATTCAAAGGCCCTTAAATATTTTGTCTGGCCCATTCACCATCTGAATGGCACACATACACAATCCATGTCTCAATTGTCTCAAGGTTTAAAAATCCTTCTTTAACCCCTTCATCTACACTGATTGAAGTGACATCAATAAGAGATCATAGCTTTCACCTGGATTCACCTGGTCAGTCTGTCATGGAAAGAGGAGGTGTTCTTAATGGTTTATATACTCCGTGTATATCACAAACATGGAGCAGAAAACCAATGAAAACACATTATATCAGTGTCAAAACTGTGGTCATAGATAACATAGATATGTGGAACTAAATATAAAGAATTTTCAATTATATAAAGTTCAAATTTAACAGAAATGTTTCAATAATAAGATTTCTTTTTATTGGTTCTAAAATGAAGAAAAGGACCAGAATAGCTTTACCACGACAGGGTGATCCACATTGTAGCCCTTAGCCATGTAAGTCTTCACATTTCCAGCAATAGGATAAGACATCCCGTGGCTAAAAAAATTAACAAAAAGGGTCTTATCAGTCACATTAATCATCAATCACAGGACACACTGTAACTATTCATATAAGGAAGGGGATGCGTGCAGTTTCAATCATGATAAATGCATAATGAACCATATGTTTGCTTTACCATAAGTGGACCCCAGCATTTCCAAACCCGATCCCGGCAAACACACTGGCAAGATGCATGCTGGACCTGGCCTTTACATCCTCAGCATCGTTCACCGCCCTTAGAGGGAGAAAGTCAACTGTTAATGACCCCTTCTATCAGCACTAATAATAAGAAACCACTGATAATAATATTCACAATAGCCGGTAGTGATTGTTTGGGGATAAAACTGCGGAATAGCTAGTGGAAGCCTCATCAGGAAGGCGTTTACCGTTTCATGTACTTGGCCACTACATTCAGAGCATGTCTGGACCAGACATCACTAATGGGGTTACTGCCCTGGTAGGCCGGCCGGTTGATGGGGTTGGGAGGGCAGGGGCTGCGCATGTTGTAGGGAAGAGCCGTGTAGGACTCCAGGGCATGGCTGCATAGGGACACACAAAGAGAACAGATATAGAAAAGAGCTTAATCCAACTCCTATTCTTTTAATCAATCACTTCTATCTGGCACCACCTTGACGTTATAAGGGCAAAGGGAAATTTGAAGATGTGGAGAAAGCACCGAGTGGGCAAAAGGTCTTACAAAGGTATAAGTCAAAGGCCTCTGCAACATGTAGGTAGAGAGAAGCATGTTGATGAATGAGATCTTTGGCTTATAAGGTTGATAAAAGATGTGAATGTAGCCTTATATTGAATGTGATCAATTTATATATATATATATTTATATATATATATATATATATATATATATATATATATATATATATATATATATATATATATATATATATATACACACAGTATATTTACATACCATAGCACATCAAAACCGCTGTTGGCAGCCACCCTCTCGGGCATATGCAGAGTGTGGAGAGGATCCACTATTCCAAGAGTCGGCTTAATGGCTCGGCTGGCGATGCCTGAACAGATTAACCAGGAGACAAGCAAGTCATACTGAGTCATTGAATGAAACATTGAAACATACAGTTTGCATTGAATGATCATTTGAATGTGAGGCCAGCAATGCAACTAAGGAGAGAGATAGCTGTGCACTGACAAAGTGTTTTTACCTGTTTTTGCTTTCAGTTTTTCGAAGTCGAAGATGGCAACACCTGTTGTCTCACTGCCAGTTCCTGCTGTTGTGGGAACTTAAGAGAAAAATAGGAGCCATGTGACTAACATGTACAAGTTTAGCCTATATTAGGAAAACTGCATATCTGCTCATCCATTTAATTGTTCTAAAAGTGTATGGCATATTAATTTCCTCCCAGAGAGGATTTGAGGTACAGTCTAACAAGATCAGGTATGCACAACCATCCACAAAAAAGTATTAAATCATCTGTAATAACCTCTATCTAATCTGTAATGGTCAAAGAAACATGCACTTATGTACAGTGTAAATACAACAAATTCTAAATGGTCCAGTGTACCAGGGTCATTTAGTTCGTAAACCTATTAACTTCAATGTGTAATCGTGACTGGGGCTTGTCGTGTGATGAAACAGACAGAGATACAACTCTTTCATAGTACCTGCGATCAGGGGCTTGAGAGCTCCAGTAATAGGCTTTCCCTTCCCTATAGGCGCGTTGACAAAGTCTAGGAAATCAGCCTCGGGATGGCAGGCATACAAGTTGGCAGCTTTACAGGTGTCAATCACTGAGCCTCCACCCACAGCAACGTAAATGTCAAACGTTTCTTTCTTCGCAAAAGCAATGGCCTCCTTGAAGCTGTATAGTAAAGAGTGAAAATGATTACTTTATTGACAATTCATCCCTTGATTGACTTTTGTATTCCGCTTCTAAAAACGTAGTGCTTCTGATAATCCATACATTTACTTCAAATAAGGAAAAACTATAATCAATATCAAATGTGATGATGAAAATTCCATTAGAAAGTCATTGAGAAAAAGCATAGGGGGTGCGTCCCAAATGGCACTCTAGTCCCTATATACGGTAGTGCATTACTTGTGACCAGAGCCCTATGGACCCTGCTCTGTTCAAAAGTAGTGCACTATATAGGGAATAGCTAGGGTGCCAATTGGAATGCACAAGGGTTACCTGGAGTCTGTTGGCTCCACCCGAACATTGTCATAAACTTTGTAGTTAACCCCATTCTGAACCAGGGACTCCAACACGGCCTTGACAGGAGGGAGCTGAGACAGATTATTGTCTGTCATAAGACACACGTTACGGGCTCCCATGTTCTGAAGATCCTGCAATTTAAAAGAAAATCACAAAATAGGAGAGATAGTGTTATTCATATCTTAGACAAAAACTTATGTGATTAATGTTCAAAGTATCATATACATTTCCATTTTAGGCCTGTTCATGTCTCTTCCATTATTGGACCTTTTTTATTGTGAACACAATAGAACACAAACCCTTACCATTTAGGAAGAACAATTATGTACACATAAGTGGTTTCATATCTTGTCATGAACAGAAAAATAGCAGAGACTTATTTACCATACCAATTTCCCGTGTGACACCCTCGCCATATCTAATGTTTGAGCTGGCCATCTGAAACCAAATAATAACATGAAAAATATGGTTAACGTTGGCCAACATCCTAAGGAAGAATACTGTTGACTACTTTTCATTAATCAAATAGAGAAATAGATATCTTAGATATTTTTTTGCAGTACTTTAGCCTAAAGACTACTTTTAAAGCTTTTTAAAAATGGGGTTTTATGCTGAGCCTCATGACAGTAATTGGATTATATGGTTGGTTTTAGTTTAATTAATAACTAATGTCTGCCTATTAGTATGGCTTATTTAAGCATTTTGCAAAGCTTCTGTGGGCCATGTCAAAGTCAGATGAGTGAAAATATGGTTACCTCAAATGCATAATCAGTTTTTCTTCCACAGTCATGTCCTGAAGCTAGAGCACAAACATTACAACTTTAAAACATGTTGTGACAGGGTAGGAACCACAGTTTTGGTCCATGTTTCTATGGACCCTAATTAGTGGTACACATGTACACATTTATAAAAACACCCCTTTCTATTCAAGTGAGAGTGTACTGTCCTCCTTGAGGTGTTTCTAACCAAAACAGATAGCCAAACTCCATTCAAGAACTGAACCAGAGTCAGGGACAGGCTTTCCATAAACCTCCGGTTTTAATAGATAAACCGGAGTAAAGAGCAATGCTTACGCAGGCATAACAAAAGGATGGCAGCAGATCATCATGAGTGCAACAGACTATTGAGGAATGTGTTTAATTGAATAAAACAGTTCCTGTTTATTACACCACATAAGAAAACACCATAGAATAAGTGCAAGCTAGATGCAGCTAAATAAAATGGCCACTGGGTGCCGCCTGGCATCTGTAAGATGCCACTACGAACTTTTAACGTAAACTCAATGGTTACCAAACGTTCAGTCCTTTTTAGCTAAAAGGAGTTGACCGCTGACACATGTCTCAGGTGGAAGGCATACAGTGAGGGAAAAAAGTATTTGATCCCCTGCTGATTTTGTACGTTTGCCCACTGACAAAGAAATGATCAGTCTATAATTTTAATGGTAGGTTTATTTGAACAGTGAGAGACAGAATAACAACCAAAAAATCCAGAAAAACGCATGTCAAAAATGTTATAAATTGATTTGCATTTTAATGAGGGAAATAAGTATTTGACCCCCTCTCAATCAGAAAGATTTCTGGCTCCCAGGTGTCTTTTATACAGGTAACGAGCTGAGATTAGGAGCACACTCTTAAAGGGAGTGCTCTTAATCTCAGCTTGTTACCTGTATAAAAGACACCTGTCCACAGAAGCAATCAATCAATCAGATTCCAAACTCTCCACCATGGCCAAGACCAAAGAGCTCTCCAAGGATGTCAGGGACAAGATTGTAGACCTACACAAGGCTGGAATGGGCTACAAGACCATCGCCAAGCAGCTTGGTGAGAAGGTGACAACAGTTGGTGCGATTATTCGCAAATGGAAGAAACACAAAATAACTGTTAATCTCCCTCGGCCTGGGGCTCCATGCAAGATCTCACCTCGTGGAGTTGCAATGATCATGAGAACGGTGAGGAATCAGCCCAGAACTACACGGGAGGATCTTGTCAATGATCTCAAGGCAGCAGGACCATAGTCACCAACAAAACAATTGGTAACACACTACGCCGTGAAGGACTGAAATCCTGCAGCGCCTGCAAGGTCCTCCTGCTCAAGAAAGCACATATACATGCCCGTCTGAAGTTTGCCAATGAACATCTGAATGATTCAGAGGAGAACTGGGTGAAAGTGTTGTGGTCAGATGAGACCAAAATGGAGCTCTTTGGCATCGACTCAACTTGCTGTGTTTGGAGGAGAAAGAATGCTGCCTATGACCCCAAGAACACCATCCCCACCGTCAAACATGGAGGTGGAAACATTATGCTTTGGGGGTGTTTTTCTGCTAAGGGGACAGGACAACTTCACCGCATCAAAGGGATGATGGACAGGGCCATGTACCGTCAAATCTTGGGTGAGAACCTCCTTCCCTCAGCCAGGGCATTGAAAATGGGTCGTGGATGGGTATTCCAGCATGACAATGACCCAAAACACACGGCCAAGGCAACAAAGGAGTGGCTCAAGAAGAAGCACATTAAGGTCCTGGAGTGGCCTAGCCAGTCTCCAGACCTTAATCCCATAAAAAATCTGTGGAGGGAGCTGAAGGTTCGAGTTGCCAAACATCAGCCTCGAAACCTTAATGACTTGGAGAAGATCTGCAAAGAGGAGTGGGACAAAATCCCTCCTGAGATGTGTGCAAACCTGGTGGCCAACTACAAGAAACGTCTGACCTCTGTGATTGCCAACAAGGGTTTTGCCACCAAGTACTAAATCATGTTTTGCAGAGGGGTCAAATACTTATTTCCCTCATTAAAATGCAAATCAATTTATAACATTTTTGACATGCGTTTTTCTGGATTTTTTGGTTGTTATTCTGTCTCTCACTGTTCAAATAAACCTACCATTAAAATGATAGACTGATCATTTCTTTGTCAGTGGGCAAACAAACAAAATCAAATACCTTTTTCCCCTCACTGTAAGTGCCCAGTGCCACGGGCCTCCCGAGTGGCGCACTACAGACCCAAGCTGTGTCACAACCCGGGAGTCCCATAGGGCGGCGCACAATTGGCCCAGCGTCGTCCGGGTTAGGGGAGGGTTTGGCCGGGGGGGGGGGGGGGGGGGCTTTACTTGGCTCATCACGCTCTAGCGATTCCTTGTGGCGGGCCGGGCGCCTGCAGGCTGATTTCGGTCATCAGTTGTACACCTTGTGTACTCTGACAGAAGGATTTTGGCACTTGGATCCAGCTCTGGGATGTGGGCTGCCACCGGCTTGAGGTGGGCTTGGTGAAGGGCTACCTTGGGTGTAGGTACTGTATGTTAGATCTGTTATTGAGAATGTTGTTGCACTCCATGAATGGAGGAAGGGCTTACCCCTCCGTTTACTGCTTCGATCTGAAAGCCATCAGCTTTTCTCCCTGCTGTTTCCAGGACTACCGCACAGGGCAATGGGCTATCCTGGATGCTGAAGAGAACAAAGAAGTCTGACTTTGCCAGTGACCGATTGCTCTGTTCGTCGAGTATGGCATACATCTTGACCGCGATTTCACACTGCCCCTGGGAGTATACTCTCACCAGACATATTTTGGAGCATGATCGCGCTGTTGGACCCTTGTCTCATACCTCAGTGCATTGGGAACTGACTGCTGGTGCAGTGGTCTGGTTTTTTTCCTCCTCCCGCCGTTTTCAGACGCAGGGATGGAGGCCGTTGAGGTCCAGGCGGAAGGACCTGGTTGCATAGCTGTGTTGTGGCTGTCGCTTCCACACTCATTACATTTCACTGCTATGGTACAGTCTTCTATATGTACTGAGCGGATGACGTAGATTGTGGATGGGGCAGCTTTTACCTGGGCTGTCTTCTTTTGTTGTGGGGGTTTCTGCTGGAGTCAGCAGCTAGGTCCACATCTGCTTTATGTACAGATATGGAGGTTCTTGTGATTATGTTTCTAATGGCAGGACTCTCACTTCTCGCAGGGCCACTGCTACTGCTGGGGAGAGCGAAGCTCAGGTCCTTTCTGGTTCTTGCTTCATCGCAGATTAACTTTGTGAAGAAGGAGAATGAGGCAAAGCACTTGTTGTGTTCGTCTTTGATTTTTTATTGGAGGCCCTGTGGCAGTTTCTCCACAATAGAACTGATGCCACAAGCGGTGGTCCAGGTACAGTGGGGAAAAAAAGTATTTAGTCAGCCACCAATTGTGCAAGTTCTCCCACTTAAAAAGATGAGAGAGGCCTGTAATTTTCATCATAGGTACACGTCAACTATGACAGTCAAAATGAGGAAAAGAAATCCAGAAAATCACATTGTAGGATTTTTAATGAATTTATTTGCAAATTATGGTGGAAAATAAGTATTTGGTCAATAACAAAAGTTTCTCAATACTTTGTTTTATACCCTTTGTTGGCAATGACACAGGTCAAACCCCTACCTGTCCCAGACCTGCTGTTTTCAACTTTTAATGATCGGCTATGAAAAGCCAACTGAGATTTATTCCTGATTATTATTTGACCATGCTTGTCACTTATGAACATTTTTGAACATCTTGGCATGGTTCTGTTATAATCTCCACCCGGCACAGCCAGAAGAGGACTGGCCACCCCTCATAGCCTGGTTCCTCTCTAGGTTTCTTCCTAGGTTTTGGCCTTTCTAGGGAGTTTTTCCTAGCCACCGTGCTTCTACACCTGCATTACTAGCTGTTTGGGGTTTTAGGCTGGGTTTCTGTACAGCACTTCGAGATATTAGCTGATGTAAGAAGGGCTATATAAAATAAAATTGATTGAAATTGATTGATCAAACGTTTTCTGTAAGTCTTCACAAGGTTTTCACACACTGTTGCTGGTATTTTGGCCCATTCCTCCATGCAGATCTCGTCTAGAGCAGTGATGTTCTGGGGCTGTCGCTGGGCAACACAGACTTTCAACTCCCTCCAAAGATTTTCTATGGGGTTGAGATCTGGAGACTGGCTAGGCCATTCCAGGACCTTGAAATGCTTCTTACGAAGCCACTCCTTCGTTGCCTGGGCGGTGTGTTTGGGATCATTGTCATGCTGAAAGACCCAGCCACGTTTCATCTTCAATGCCCTTGCTGATGGAAGGAGGTTTTCACTCAAAATCTCACGATACATGGCCTCATTCATTATTTCCTTTACATGGATCAGTCGTCCTGGTCCCTTTGCAGAAAAACAGCCCCAAAGCATGATGTTTCCACCCCCATGCTTCACAGTAGGTATGGTGTTCTTTGGATGCAACTCAGCATTCTTTGTCCTCCAAACACGACGAGTTGAGTTTTTACCAAAAAGTTATATTTTGGTTTCATCTGACCATATGACATTCTCCCAATCCTCTTCTGGATCATCCAAATGCACTCTAGCAAACTTCAGATGGGCCTGGACATGTACTGGCTTAAGCAGGGGGACACATCTGGCACTGCAGGATTTGAGTCCCTGGCGGCGTAGTGTGTTACTGATGGTAGGCTTTGTTACTTTGGTCCCAGCTCTCTGCAGGTCATTCACTAGGTCCCCCCGTGTGGTTCTGGGATTTTTGCTCACCGTTCTTGTGATCATTTTGACCCCACGGGGTGAGATCTTGTGTGGAGCCCCAGATCGAGGGAGATTATCAGTGGTCTTGTATGTCTTCCATTTTCTAATAATTGCTCCCACAGTTGATTTCTTCAAACCAAGCTGCTTACCTATTGCAGATTCAGTCTTCCCAGCCTGGTGCAGGTCTACAATTTTGTTTCTGGTGTCCTTTGACAGCTCTTTGGTCTTGGCCATAGTGGAGTTTGGAGTGTGACTGTTTGAGGTAGTGGACAGGTGTCTTTTATACTGATAACAAGTTCAAACAGGTGCCATTAATACAGGTAATGAGTGGAGGACAGAGGAGCCTCTTAAAGAATAAGTTACAGGTCTGTGAGAGCCAGAAATCCTGCTTGTTTGTAGGTGACCAAATACTTATTTTCCAACATAATTTGCAAATTAATTAATGAAAAATCCTACAGTGTGATTTTCTGGATTTTTTTTTCTCAATTTGTCTGTCATAGTTGACGTGTACCTATGATGAAAATTACAGGCCTCTCTCATCTTTTTAAGTGGGAGAACTTGCACAATTGGTGGCTGACTAAATATTTTTTTTCCCCACTGTAAATTAGGCCAGGTAAGTGTCCATCTTCATTTGCAGACTGACCTTCCATCAGGAGATCTCTGAGCTCGCTTAGCTTGAGGAAATCTCTGCTGGAGATTCTGGAGAACGGTATAACCTCTTTCGATGATTTTGGGTGTAGAGTAACACTGTTTTAGTCTGTCCAATGCTGCGCTTGGGTCGTTGATGTGCACTGAGCTCACCCTCTTTGCGTGTTCCGAGGACTCCTTGCCCAGTCACTTTGTTAGCAGATACAGCTCCTTACTAGAAGTGAGGTCCAGGCCCTTGATAGCGTTGTTGAATGATGACTGCCATGCCCTGAACCTCTTCGACTGGTTGTCGAATTGTGTGAGTCCTGTGTTCACTAGCTCACAACATGCTAGGTACTTAGCAAAGTCTATCATGTTGGCCTCGGACTGGTTCCGCACAGCTGTGTAGTGTTGCAGGGTGTAGGGCTGAGGTAGGGGGTACTATGACTGGCTTTGTTCTCTTTAAGTGTGTGGGGCTTTTGTAGCGGGGGCTCCCCACTGGGCAAAAACTGGATGAATCAACGTTGTTTCCACGTCATTTCAACAACAAAAATGTGATGACTTTGAATCAACGTGGAAAACTGATGGGATTTGCAAAAAGTCATCAACATAAGGGAATTTAGTCTTTATTCACCCAACTTTTAACCTTAATCCAATGAAATTGTAAAATGTTTTGTTGATTTCACATTAGTTGACAACTCAACTAAATTTCAATCAAAACTAGACGTTGAACTGATGTCTGTGCCCAGTGGGTCCTGTCTTGTTGGGGAGTGATGAATGAGGCTTGAAGCATGCTGCATATTTCCCAGTTTGCTTCAAGTTGTGCTGCTCTTCAGTGAAACTGAATAGGTTGCGTAGCCTGAAGTCTGACATGTGACTAGGGTGTCATCAAGATGAGGTGGTCGCCGTATGCTGGTACAAGTCCCGGCGAGGAAGGATGTCTGGTATGTAGCTTAGCTTGCTTAATGATGTATTCACCTTTGCGTTCAGCAATGTAATTTTGTGTTAGAGGATGTCTAAATAAATAATAAAAAAATAGATATATATATTATTGTGGAACACCTCATCCTCTAGTTCTACTGCTGCCTCCCAGATCTCAGCCTGAACCAGTGCTGCGGCTGCCTGTCTATGAAGATGTAATGTGTCTCAGCCTCTCGCCAGCGAATGATGCACGGCGTGTGCTTCCTCTGCCCTGGCGCAGGCTCTAGTTGCTGCAGCGGCTTGAAGATCCTGTTCTGGAACTGACCTGGGATGCTACGTCATCTTGTCCTTGTTGAATGTCCATGTTACAGCTGCACTGTACTGATGTCTACCGCCGAAAAAGTTGTGCCGATGGTCACTGTTTTTTCACTGTACTGTCCTCCTTGAGGTGTTTCGAAACCAAAATTAGACAGACAGCCAAACTCCAAATAAAGAACTGAATCAGTTAAGGATAGCCTTTCCATAAAACTCTTGTTTTAATAGATAAAACGGAGTGAAAAACCAATGCTTATGCAGGCATAACAAAAGGATGGCAGCAGATCATCATGAATGCATCAGAATGTATTGAGAAATGTGCTTGATTGAATAAAACACTTTGCGGCCCTACTTGCGAACATTGCTGTAAAAGATGCGCAGGCTAAAAGGTGTTTGCTGTTGAATTGCTACATTTAAATACGAGTTTATTATTTTTCATTGTACACTGAACGAAAATATAAATGCAACATGTAAAGTGTTGGTCCCATGTTTCAAGAGCAGAAATAAAAGATCCCAGAAATGTTGATGTCTCAAGTTTTGAGGGAGCGTGCAATTGGCATGCTGACTGCAGGAATGTGCACCAGAGCTGTTGCCAGAAAATGTAATGTTCATTTGTCTACCATAAGCCGCCTCCGTCGTTTTAGAGATTTGGCAGTAGGTCCAACCGGCCTGACAACCGCAGACCACATGTATGGCGTCGTGTGTGCGAGCAGTTTGCTGATGTCAACGTTGTGAACAGAGTGCCCCATGGTGGCGTTGGGGTTATGGTATGGGCAGGCATAAGCGACGGACAACGAACACAATTGCATTTTATCTATGGCAATTTGGATGCACAGAGATACCGTGATAAGATCCTGAGGCCCATTGTCGTGCCATTCATCCGCCGCCATCACCTCATGTTTCAGCATGATAATGCATAGCCCCATGTTGCAAGGATCTGTACCCAATTCCTGGAAGCTGAACATGTCCCAGTTCTTCCATGGCCTGCATACTCACCAGACATGTCACCCATTGAGCATGGATGGACGTGTACGACAGCGTGTTCCAGTTCCAGACAATATCCAGCAACTTCACACAGCCATTGAAGAGGAGTGGGACAACATTCCACAGGCCACAATCAATAGCCTGATCAACTCTATGCAAAGGAGATGTGTCATGCTGCATGAGGCAAATAGTGGTCACACCAGATACTGATTAGTTTTCTGATCCACACCCCTACTTTTTTTTTTTTTAAAGGTATTTGTGACCAACAGATTCAAATCTGTATTCCCAATCATGTGAAATCCATAGATTAGGGCCTAATTTATTTATTTAAATTGACTGATTTCCTTATATAACTTAGTAAAATCTTTGAAATTGTTGCGTTTATATTTTTGTTCAGTATATGTACACTACCGTTCAAAAGTTTGGGGTCACTTAGAAATGTTCTTGTTTTCAAAAGAAAAGCTATGTTTTTGTCCATTAAAATAACATAAAATTGATCAGAAATACAGTGTAGACATTGTTAATGTTGTAAATGGCTATTGTAGCTGGAAACTGCTGATTTTTAATGGAATATCTACATAGGCGTACAGAGGCCCATTATCAGCAACCATCAGTCCTGTGTTCCAATGGCACGTTGTGTTTGCTAATCCAAGTTTATCATTTGAAAAGGCTAAATGATCATTAGAAAACCCTTTTGCAATTATGTTAGCACAGCTGAAAACTGTTGTGCTGATTAAAGAAGCAATAAAACTTATTGAGACTAGTTGAGTATCTGGAGCATCAGCAATTGTGGGTTCGATTACAGAATCAAAATGGCCAGAAACAAATAACTTTCTTCTGAAACTCGTCAGTCTATTCTTGTGCTGAGAAATGAAGGCTATTCCATGCGAGAAGTTGCCAAGAAACTGAAGATCTCGTACAACGCTGTGTACTACTCCCTTCACAGAACAGCGCAAACTGGCTCTAACCAGAATAGAAAGAAGAGTGGGAGACCCCGGTGCACAACTTAGCAAGAGGACAAATACATTTCGAAAACAAGGACATTTCTAAGTGACCCCAAACTTTTGAACGGTAGTGTACATTGAAGTATGATTCCCAGTTGTCACTATGACAATGAACACACCCTGAAAGCACTGACTGGTCTGTGTTACCACCTTATTAATAGGCCTACAGCGTGATGTAGGATGCGTCTAGGCCTACTGTAGAACGACAAACTTTCCTCTGGTGTGGATCCTCGACAACATGTTTTCGAGTCCGGACTCGCGATAAACGTATTTAAAATAACTAACACTTACTACAATACTGCCATCTGTAGAATGATAATGAGAGTGCTTGACTTTGTTATGGTCGCTCTTATGGAAAAGTGTTTGTTCATGTCCATCTATGTCAACATTTATAATTGGCTATGCGGAATTTTGTTCCAGGAAATAATCACTGTCATCTGGTGAGGTTAGCATAGGGCTAACGTGTGCTACGTTATCTGACGGGACCAGGTACAATGTAGCGTTCTTTCACGTGCAAGTATATGAACGATTTAATTGGCTGATGCGTATTTTGACACGGAGAAACTGTTTTATAATGTTCGCAATTATGGGCCCTATTACCTGTTTATTACACCACATCAGAAAGTACCATAGAATAAGTGCAAGCTAGATGCAGCTCAATAAAACAGTCCCGGGTGGCGCTAAATCACAAGGTGCATATTAAACTTGAATGAGAGGCAGAATAGAGCCTTTGCACATGAAGCTGTGTTAGGTGTTACAATTAACAAATTAACAATAAAGCTGTGTGTTATAATAAATAGGTTATTTGATCCAACTACTACCTTGATGGAATGTATGAGAATGGGCAGGGCATCTGCACCTGTAAATGGGGGGGAAAACAGCATTTTCATAAGCAGTGTAATCAATTGACGCAAACCTGCGAGTGCAACGAGGTTGGGTTGACGTCGATGTTTGCACTGTCATCTGGCTACTGCATAACAAGTTAGGTAGGGGCCTAGCTAAATTAGATAACTACCTTATGTAACCACTACCTCAAGTGCATTTAACAATCTTGTATTTGTGCATTTTCGCGATTAGGAATCAACTTACGCTGCTTTTTCAAGTTGCCTGAGCAAATGCACAATCCTGTCGCGTCCTGCCATGTTGTCCAATAGTTGTACTTCTTCCTTCGTCTTTTAGGTTGAGTTCAACTCGAGGGGGTCGAAGTCTGGAGTTTGAACTGATACATGAGCGCCCCTTACTGCACCGAATGTGAAAATATATAGGACAGGGGTCAGACCTTTATTTTTGTCAAAAAAAATTAAAAAACTTTATTAAACTATGAGGTTACCCAAGGCTCTACCACTCACGTCATGATGAGGAAAACACAATTTCCATTTACTGTAACAGGCAGTAGATGGCCTAGTCCTACTATTGAAAATATAATTTAGGGCAGCCAAAATATTAATGTTCAATATCAAGTTCAACTCATAGGAAAAGGAGGGTGACTATCAGCTGAAATCACAACCTATCTCCTGGGGGATTTAGATTGATTCACTGCACATCATAGGCCTAAGCTATAACATGCCTGGATGAATACCAATCAATAATAACATCTCTGCCCTTTACTGCTAGTGATTGACAGTCAGGCATGTGATTATGTAGCCTACATCAAGTGCTGTGAGGAAGAGCACTTTAGACAGTTGGCCTCAAGCAACAAGCAACACGCAGCCTAACTGACTGTCAACCCCAAAGTTGCCTTACTGCATAGGCTGCCACTGTTGTGGTTGTCACTAGAGAGTGAAAATGCCCAGAAGCCCACCATAGATGTGGGTCATCATTAAATCTCTCACTTTTCATTCATATCTACTTTCTATTAATGTATTTACAGTTTAGTCATTTAGCAGATGCTCTTATCCAAAGCGACTTACAGTTTTTTAGTGAGTGCATACATTTTCATACTGGCCCCCCGTGGGAATCGAACCCACAACCCTGGCATTGCGAAACGCCATGCTCTACCAACTGAGCTACACGGGACTACTTCCAGTGTCCCCATCATTAAAATAGAAAGATGTTTTATTAAATTATATTTCTATGGTACTAATTCTAATTCTGTGGTCCCCTTAACCCTGTGACTGTAATCTTCCACATATACTGTACAACCTGCAAGGTACCAGCCAGCCCAGAGCCATTATTAATGGTTATACACAGCGCTGATACCAGGCAATCTAAAGGAAGAGACTGATAAGGAATAAGGTATGTTGGCTACTGTAACTGAATGTTTGATAAGTGGAAAGTCACTCAGTTCATATGGATAAATTGCTTGAAGCAGACTTAGGTTTACATCCTGTAAAGGCACCTCTATTCTCCATACCTCCGACACTGATCGTTTCATTCAGCTGGATGGGTTTCTTCCACCAAGTGACTCACAGTGATTTAGTACCTGTACTGTGTTCACTCGCACCGCTACACTACATGTTAGCTCTTAACCAGGGGCATGAGGAGATCCGTGTTGAGCCGTGATGATGGCTATCAGAGGGGACAGACTAGCCAGGCTGTGAAAGAAACTCCATGTCCTCAGCCTGCTCTAAAAATATAAATTTGTCTGTGCCCTTTCAGGGTCAGCGTGGTGCAGCCAACACCATTTCTCTGAGACTGTGATACAGGTGGCTGTCCCAAATGGCACCCTATTCCCTATTTAGTTCACTACCTTTGACCAAAACTAGTGCACTATGTAGGGAATAGGGAGCCATTTGGGACACACAGTCACAATATTATTGAATGACAGTCCCAACACGCTGCAGCTGGAAAGGGCTCCCCCATTTAAGCACCTAGCAGCAGCACTGTCATTCCCAATATGACAGATCAGCCAATGAGTACATTCAATTTGAAATTGTTCCAACCGAGTTGTATTCAGAAGTGTATTTTTAGAATTGTATTCTGTGATGTGGATTTGAGAGTGTTTGGTTCAGGTATTGGCATCACAATGGCATAACATTTATAGTTAATTTAGCTTATCATGAATTGTTTAGTTTTTTAAAATAAATAATTGTATTCACCTAACAACATTTGAATGTGGAATACCAGTGATCTTTTCATACGTAATTTTCATAGAATAAATATACTGTAGTTCACTTCAGAGCAATTGTTCCCCATCCCTCTTGAAATACTTGGCCCTATTCTCAGATAAAGGGTCATAGTGTGTGAGGCCCTTTAATTCATCATTACAGCATTTAACTTAATTTCATAACACAGTTAATGAAAATGACAAAACGTAAATGATATCCATACTACATGAAGATCATCACTATGGGATACACACATCTTGCTTTCTCCATCACACTCTCATGGATCTAATTACAATGGTTCATTATGGGTCAGTGGAGGGCTTGTGACATGAGACTGATCACCAGAAACAATGTTAATTGGATAGACATGCCACATCATGCATCTGCAATACTAATATCACAAATTATATGAGAATATGGTATGGAGTTTCCATGAAGTGCACAGCTTCATGCAATTTCCCTATTTAGTCTTTTTACATCAACATACACTACCAGTCAAAAGTTTTAGAACACCTACTCATTCAAGGGTTTTTCTTTATTTTTACTATTTTCTACACTGTAGAATAATAGTGAAGCCATCAAATCTATGAAATAACACATATGGAATCATGTAGTAACCAAAAAAGTATTAAACAAATCAAAATATGTTTTATATTTGAGATTCTTCAAATAGTAGTGTAAATATTACGTTTATTTGAATTGATGCAAGTAAGTGTACATGATAGTAATGAATAAGTAATAATAAGATGCATTTGGATCCATGGCCTGACAGTTCCTCCAGAGCATGAGTTCTCTCTCTGGATGAGCAACAAGAGGAAGGAGAGAGTCGATAGCTCCGCAAAAGGTCAAACTGTCACAGAAAATGTATTCTGCCTCAAACACTGACATTGTAACACTTTGTGACTGGTGGCACCTTGGATGAGAGCTGGCCATTGTGATTCATGAATCATTGAGTGTGCGACCCAAATGGTGCCCTATTCCTTATGTAGTTTACTTCCAGGCCCTGGTCAAAAATAGTGCACCAAATAGGGAATAGGATGCCATTTGGGACGCATTCGCTGAAACACGGATGTCACATAAGTGGAGTCTTAGTATTGGGAATGGGCTGTCAGGTTTGCCACTCTTACTGACACATTGTTTCTGACCCGTTGTAACCTGGAGAAAGGAGCAAGAAGGAAGAGGGGATGGAGAGAGGGATGGAGAGAGGGGATGGAGAGAGGATCGTGGATAGAGGGAGAGGGGATGGAGAGGATGGAGAGGATGGAGAGAGAATGATGCAGAGGGGATGGAGAGAGAATGATGAGAGAGGGATGGAGAGAGAGGATGAGAGGGGGATGGAGAGAGGGAGAGGGGATGGAGAGAGGGCACGTTGCGGAAACACTTCTGTCAACACGGCTGTGGTAAAATCAAAGTGACTCGGTGTGGTCAAATTGATATTATTCTTGTTGGTCTCAGTGATATAAAATACTTGTATTATATAAATAGTCAGATCTCTTACCTATTGTGATGAAATGTGTTGGTTGCTTCAGGGGCATAAACACCATACAGTTGTGCATCTGAATGGCACCCTATTCCATTTACATTTACATTTTAGTCATTTATCAGACGCTCTTATCCAGAGCGACTTACATTAGAGAATCAACCACACCTGGCGTTGCAAACGCATGCTTATCAACTGAGTACATCCCTGCCGGCCATCCCTCCCTACCCTGGACGACGCTGGCCAATTGTGCGCGCCCATGAGTCTCCCGGTCGTGGCCGGCTGCGACAGAGCCTGGATTCGAACCAGGATCTCTAGTGGCACAGTTAGCACTGCGATGCAGTGCCTTAGACCACTGTGCCACTCAGGAGTACATAGTGCACTTATTTGTGGTAATAAGTGCACTATGTATGTGGTAAAATAGTGGCAACCCCAATAATTTTTTTGGGGGGGCACACGGGGTGGATGACAAGGCTACAGGAGGCTAAAAGGGAGAAGGAAAGTGTAGAGGCACGGCGAGAGCAGCAGAAGGAGGGGGGGTTATTAAAAGAACCCAGTCCCGCTCCTCGCACCAAGCAAGTGGTGCGTGTCGCCAGCCCGGTCCGGCCTGTTCCTGTCCCTCGCACCAAGCCAGTGGTGCGCGTCGCCAGCCCGGTCCGGCCTGTTCCTGTCCCTCGCACCAAGCCAGTGGTGCGCGTCGCCAGCCCGGCCTGTTCCTGTCCCTCGCACCAAGCCAGTGGTGCGCGTCGCCAGCCCGGACCGGCCTGTTCCTGTCCCTTGCACCAAGCCAGTGGTGCGCGTCGCCAGCCCGGCCCGGCCTGTTCCTGCCCCTCGCACCAAGCCAGTGGTGCGCCTCGCCAGCCCGGTCCGGCCTGTTCCTGCCCCTCGCACCAAGCCAGTGGTGCGCGTCGCCAGCCCGGCCCGGCCTGTTCCTGCCCCTCGCACCAAGCCAGTGGTGCGCGTCGCCAGCCCGGCCCGGCCTGTTCCTGCCCCTCGCACCAAGCCAGTGGTGCGCGTCGCCAGCCCGGCCCGGCCTGTTCCTGCCCCTCGCACCAAGCCAGTGGTGCGCGTCGCGAGCCCGGTCCGGCCTGTTCCTGTCACTCGCACCAAGCCAGTGGTGCGCGTCGCCAGCCCGGCCCTGGCCTGTTCCTGTCCCTCGCACCAAGCCAGTGGTGCGAGTCGCCAGCCCGATCCGGCCTGTTCCTGCTCCTCGCACCAAGCCAGTGGTGCGTGTGTCCAGTCCGGCACGGCCCGTGCCTGTTCCACCGGTGCCTGGTCCGGCACCGGTCAGCTGCTCCACTCCGGAGCCAGAGCAGTCCGCTCCACTGGTGCCCAGTTCAGCTCCGGTCAGCTGCTCCACTCCGGAGCCAGAGCAATCCGCTTCACCGGGGTCAGGATCTTGTTCCGTGTAAGGTATGTTTTGTGTTCTACCTTGGACTTCACGTTTCGTTTAGTTTGTTGTTTTGTCGTGTTGTTTATTAAGTTAAAATAAACATGTACGCATATCACGCTGCGCCTTGGTCTGACCCGTCGATGAACGAACGTGACAACAGGCTTGATGCAAATGAATACGTGCTAAACGTTGTTTTATTTTCATTCATTTAATTTGTTTCATTAAATATTTACATTTGATTACAGACAGTGCAGCTATGTTGCAATTATATCAAAAAAAAATATATATATATATATTCTGGACGGCCTCGTCGAACTCT